GTATTTCACTACCCCGCTGTGTCACATCTTCAGACATTAATCATTCCCACAACACCAGACAGATTCACATCTTTTGCGACGCTTCCGAGCAAGCTTATGGATCTGTCGCCTACCTACGTACTAATGATGACAGTGGTCATATTCAATTAGCCTTTGTACTAGCAAGGTCCAAGGTTGCCCCAAAACGACGTCTGACAATTCCTCGACTAGAGCTTTGTGCTGCCCTGAATGGTGCCCAATTAGCCAAACTGTTGAAAACTGAGCTCACCCTCGAGATAAATACAGTGACGCTATGGACCGATTCCACCACTGTTCTAGCCTGGCTCAAATCTGAATCATACCGATTCAAGGTGTTTGTTGGAACCAGGATAGCCGAAATTCAAGAGCTGACAACTGAATGTTCCTGGCGATATGTGGATTCCAGCAGTAATCCAGCTGATGACCTGACCCGAGGTAAAACTCTTCTTCAGCTGTCAGTGCCCAACAGATGGAGCCAAGGACCATCATTCCTGCTTGAGTCTGAGTCAGTATGGCCTGTCTGTCCTTCTATTCAACCACCAGAAATCAAAACAGAGCAGCGCAAAGGAATCTTCTGCGGACTAATGACGGAAGTAGATGTTCCTGACATTCCCGATCCTATCACACACAACACCTGGAGCGAGTTAGTGGAGGCCACAGTTCAAGGTCTAATTGATACAGGACCACCTTCAGCAGTGGACTACCAAACTGCAGAATGGCATATCCTGCAGAAATCTCAAATGGATAGTTTTCCAGATGAATACAAACTCCTAAGAGCTGGTAAATCAGTACCTTCGACTAGCCGACTACTTGCTCTTGCCCCAGAATTCGACGACTCTTGTCAGCTTATAAGAGTTGGTGGTCGTTTACGCCGAGCTGAAGGACTAGAGCTGTCAGTTATACACCCTGTAGTTCTTGACCCACATCACTGGGTTACCAAGTTACTGATCCGAGACTATGATCGTAAACTCTGCCATCCAGGACCTGAAAGAGTCTTCGGAGAGATAAGGAGAAGCTTTTGGATACTGAGAGGACGAGAAGCTATACGGAAACAGCAACATTTGTGCAAAGACTGCCAAACATGGAAGAACAAACCAGTTATTCCCCGAATGGCAGATCTACCTCCAGCTCGACTCAGACTGCTCAAACCCCCATTCTACAGTACAGGCATGGACTGTTTCGGGCCATTCCAAATTAAGATTGGCAGACGATGTGAGAAAAGGTGGGGAATCATCTTTAAGTGCCTCACGACACGAAGTGTTCATCTAGACCTTCTTACAGCTATTGATACTGATTCCTTTCTGATGGCTTTGAGGAGGTTTATAGCTCGCCGTGGAACACCTCGTGAGTTATATTCAGACAACGGCACTAACTTTCACGGAGGACAGAAAGAGTTGCAAGAAGCCTTTGCATCGCTTGCTCCACAGATCCAGCTGCATTTAGCTAAACAAAAGATTTCTTTCCACTTTAACCCACCTGGAGCCCCACACTTTGGTGGTGTGTGGGAAAGAGAAATTAGGTCAGTCAAGACTGCTCTTCGCATCACAGTCAGCTCCCAAGTCGTAACTGAGGAAGTTCTCCAAACAGTCCTCATTGAGGTGGAGGGAATGCTTAATAGCAAGCCCTTGGGTTACACTTCCAGCAATGTAGCTGACCTTGACCCTGTTACACCAAATTATTTGCTGATGGGGCGGCCAGATAGCTCACTGCCACTCGTAGTGTATCCTGCTACAGAGCTCATGGGTCGAAGAAGGTGGAAGCAGAGTCAAGTTCTGGCCGATCAGTTCTGGTCAAGTTTCACCCAGCATTACCTGCCTACGCTACAGACCCGCAACAAGTGGCACACAGATGCCGGTGACATTTCTATCGGAACAGTGGTAATGCTCATCGATCCACAACTACCACGAGCATTGTGGCTGGTAGGCAAAGTTGCGAAGACCTTCCCAAGTTCGGATGGCCGTACCAGATCTGCTGAGATTCAAGTTAAGGATAAGACCTACATCCGGCCCGTTTCTCGCTTGATCCCCCTTCCTGCATTTACAGATCAAAAGGAACTTGTCTTAGCCCCTCATAGTGATTAATTTATAGAGCTCAAATATGCTTGGCATATTTGGGGGCGGCAATGTTAAGAAGGTTTCAGCCAATCAGAGAGTCGTTTATTGAATGACGTTAGTCAGTGCCTAGTCAGTAGAGACGAACGAAATATGAATGCTGATGCAGAAGACTAATAGCTCAATCGTTCCTTCAGAAGTGGTTTATGTGAGTGAGTTAATGACAAAATGTAAGTTGTTTATTTCCTTTTATCTTATGATGCTATATGCGTTTAAAGCAGATTTGTGTACTTTACTGAGTTATCACGAGCTTGTTTGCGCACCATCGCGGCAGCTCGCGTTAGCGCCTAAGCGCCAAAATTCATCCTTTAAGTTTAAGTAATGCATGAGTACTTTCATAGTGTAAGATATCTGGATGGTGATTTATATGGTTATTTGCTTATATTTGCGTAAATATTGTGTTATGTGCTGTTTCATATACGTTACTGCCCGAAATGACACTGTAATGGCGTCCTACATAACAACTAATTCCATGTGCGTCCCTTGAGCGCCACCTTGTGGATTATCTAGGAACTTCAATAATGTTACCAGTTCTATTGCCTTGATGAATGTTATTGATTTAGCTGTATCTCTAATATTATTGTTATTCTGTATTATTTTCAGATCACTTACTGTTACCACTCACTGTTCCTATTCAACTTGAATCAAGAGTAAACTACAAACTTTGCTGCAAACTCTGAGTCGTATGTGTTCTTACCGACACACCAGTGCGGATACAAATCCACCTACTCCAGTAATATACAGTCCTTAATTAAACCTCAAAAACAATTACGCAGTTGTCCACATCTGTCGCCATGGTTACTATGGCAGTACAGGCGGAAACTAGGGACAACACTGTAAAAAAATATTGTTGGTTTAACTTAAAATATTACGTAACCTGGCTTCCTTAAAATTTTAAGTTCATTGAAATGGAAAAATTGAGTTAATACAATGAAGGAGATTGATTTAATCATCAGAAACTCAAAATATTATGTTATCTGAACTATATAAATGATTTAAGTTGAAAAATTACGTAACCTGGCTGCCTCAAAATTTTAAGTTCATTGAAATGGAAAAAATTGAGTTAATACAATGAAGGAGATTGATTTAATCATCAGAAACTCAAAATATTATGTTATCTGAACTATATAAATGATTTAAGTTGATTTGACAAAAGAAAAAAATGTTGTGATTACAAATCATTAAAATATATATTTTTTACAGTGTATTTTCATTGATCAGCTATATTCATGTTCACATTTGTTGAAAAAGAATACAAAATAGGCATATATAGGGAATCCTATTAAGACTAGATTAGTCCCATAGGACTCCCTGTGTTAAATCTTGTGACATGCTCACTACGTTAAACGTTTACAGTAAATTGACATTATGTGGGTTTAATCAAGGTATACTAAGACGTAATTAACTGTACCAGTCATTAAATTACCTGTGTCCCGAGGCTTGGCATTCATTTCATTGCCATGCTGTTCTTTCTCTCCTTAAACAAATCCTATTTATTTCTGTCTTTATAGAGCAAATGTTGAGGGATTGTCTGGTATGGGGACATTATCGTAGGCAGGACGAGGTAGACTATAGGGACAGTAAGCTGATCAGAACCAGACTGTCAGGGTGTATTTATGACCCAGATCCAACGCTTTGAAAAGAGCAAAGATAAACTTAATGTTAGAGAAGGATACAGATTAAAAATAAGGACAGCTTGTATTGAATACCAATAGGCAACATTTCAATTGGAGCATTTTGAAGCACTTTTTCTGTTTTAAAATGCATAAATAGCCCTTTATAATACCGCTATCATCCTTCCAATGAATAAATAAAAACCTCAATTAAAAAAAGGCTTGCCTGGGGCTGTATTCAAATGAGCAGATATTCAACATTCAAATTGAATTAATAATTTAATCAATTCAGGATAACTGTGCCATTTTTTCCCAGTCATCTAAATGGCAAAAAGTTCCAGTTTACCTGCATTCACCCCTAAATAAATACATATTTTTGATCATTAATAACCTATACACTGTAAAAACATATTGATGGTTTAACTTAAAATATAGTTGCCTTAAAATTTTAAGTTCATTGAACTGGAAAAAGTGAGTTAATACAATGAAGGAGATTCATTTAACCATCAGAAACTCAAAATTATATGTTATCTGAACTAAATAAATGATTTAAGTTGATTTGACAAAAGAAAAAATGTTGTGATTACTACACTGTAAAAAATATTGTTGGTTTGACTTAAAAAAGTAAGTAACCTGGGTTGCCTTAAAATTTTAAGTTGATTGAACTGGAAAAAGTGAGTTAATACAATAAAGTATTAAGTTTATAAAATAACACGTTATCTCAACTAAATAAATTATTATAAAGTTGATTTGACAAAAGAAAATATGTTGTGATAACAAATCTTGAAAATATTTTTTACAGTGTAATGATGCATCACATGAGAATTTCAAGTAAACATTTTTGTCTTTTTGTAGCTGCTTTAAAAGTAGTTATCTATAACTGCATTAACAGTTTTTATTTCAAAGGTCACTAAAGTACTGGGAAACACACTAAGAGGAGAAGACCATCACCACTTGGTGTTTAATGAGATTTATGAAGATCTGGATGGAAACTCCTCTCTCTAGACACTAATGGCTGATCTCTATGCACACCGTGTGGATATTACTGTATCTATTGTATTTAAAGATGGCAATCAATACCACAAATAACAAACCACAAAAATGTAATCATAAAACAGTCAGTGTCAGAGGCTTTTAGCCAAAACAGTGACTACATTGAATATGGTGTTAAAAAGAACAGGACAGAAACTGTACATTATGAAAAGTAATCTCTTTCTGTCTGAGCCTTGTGCAATCTTATGTAATTGACTTAACTCAGTGGAGAGGTAGCCACCTTCTTCGACACGGCCTCATTACTCTTCCACACTCCATCTTGATTACTTGCCCTGTGATTCTTCATCCTTAAACCACAATCACAGGTAAGCATGTTGTTTTCTGTTCATTTATATTTAATTTCACACACACATATATATTGATCTCTTAGAGTACCATGATAAGAGTTGCACATACATGAATAATCAGATCACTATTAAACACTTGTCAAAGCATCCCAGTCAGTGGCTTACTCCAAGGAACTTCTTATATCCTTTAAATTATTTTGATTTTACTTGATTTATTATTTCTTTTAAATGAGCTCTGTGCACAATAAATAAAGCTGTAATGATCTTATTTCAAGCTAAATTTGTAAAATAGTTTAGGCAAATAGTCATAGACTAAACTGTTTTTTGTTTACTGCAGTTCATTGGGACACTTTCATATTTACATGTAAGGCATAGCCAGTGACTAAAAAATGTTAATAGTTCACAAATGGACAAAAAAGTGAAATATAATATGTTTAAGTTACAATTTGTAAACTTCTACACACTCTGCTGGGTTGTTTCAACCCAAATTTGGGTCAAATATGGACAAACCCAATTGTTGGGTTAAAAATGTAATTTAATTTTTTAATCCAAACTTCAACTTTCACTTTCACCTGTAAATTCTTCATCACATTTTTAACCCAACATTTGGGTTTGTCCATATTTGACCCAAATTTGGGTTTAAACAACCCAGCATGTTTTTGAGTGTGCAGAAGTTTATGTATACGTAGATTCCACATTCGAGTGCTCAACGCGTTGGCACATCCGCCATATTGGAAAGGTCAGCGTTTCGCAGTGGTGGGAAGATTATTATGGAAATGTAATAGGTTACAGATTACAATTTACCCTATAAGTAGAGTAACTATTTTAATTACTTTATTAAAGTAATTTATTACATTTCATTACTTTTCAAAAATTTCTAACAAATGTTTTTAACTGTTAATCATTTCATACATTTAACCGGTAACACTTTATTTTGATGGTCCCTTTTGAACATTCGGTTGACTATAAGTAACTTTGCAACAACATAACTAACTCTCAATAGAGTATTATAGTAGACTGTATAACTCTTTATTGTGATGGACCCCAAAATACATTCAACTGGCTATAAATAACTTTGCAACTACATCTCAACTCATTCAATCCCTAACCCTATAATCAGTCTACTAATACTAAAACTCTAATGAGAGTTAGTGGACAATTTCAAACAAGAGAACCAAAAGCAGCAGAATAGCATAGCTAAAAGATTGATTACAGTTACATTTATTTTGTACTTGCATAACGTTGCATAACTCTGTTACATATGGAATTAGTTACTCCCCAAAACTGCACTCTAAACAATGCTAGGTTGTTTTAACCCAAAACTAAAATATGGACAAACCCAAATGTTGGGTTAAAAGTGTCATTTAAAATTTTCAACTTTCACTTTCAACTGTACATTTTTTTAATTACATTTTTAAACCAACATTTGGGTTTGTCCATATTTGACCCAAATTTGGGTTGAAATAACCCAGCATTTTTAGAGTGTGGCATTTCATCACTGACAATAAGAATCGATGATGCCACAACACTGCACACCGCCGAGATTTAAATTCCAGAAGAAATGGGATAATCTTACAGGTGATAATCCACCAGCAGCCAAATCACCCTTGTAGCCAAAGACTGGATGTCCACTGAAGCTAAGCTGGGTTGAGCCTGGTCAGTACCTGGATGGCAGACCTCCCAGGAAAACCAGGTTTCTGCTGGAAGGTGATAGTGAGGCCAGCAGGGGGCGCTCACCCTGTGCTTTGTGTGGGTGCTAACGCCCCACTATAGTGATGGGGAGACTATACTGTCAAAAACCACCGTCTTTCGGATGAGACGTTAAAACCGAGGTCCTGACTCTCTGTGGTCACAAAAAAATCCCAGGATGTCTTTTAAAAGAGTAGGGGTGTAACATCCAGGCCAAATTTTCCCAGTGGCCTCTGTCCATCATGGCCGCCTAATTATCCCCATATACCAATTGACTTGCTTGTATTTTTAAATTTTGTATTACGGCATTCTAACGAATTTCAAAAAAGCTGTTGGTGTGAAATATGACCTACACTTGACACTTCACACTTGCTAATTTACGGTTTTGACTGGGTACACTGAGTGACTAACATCCCATCTGATCTTTTCCAAGGACACAATTAAAAGCCTTTGTTATTTCCTCTGTATTACTCAGAGAAGCCATGGGAAACGCACAGAGTGGAGGGATTCCCAGAGAGATCCTGGATGACCTCAAGCAGACCACCAGGTTCTCTGAAGCTGAGATCACCCAGTGGTACGATAACTTCCAGAAGCAGTGTCCTTCAGCTCGCATCTCACTGCAACAGTTTGAGGAGATCTACGGGAAATTCTTCCCCGAAAGTGATGCCAAGACCTATGCCCAACACGTTTTTAGGTCCTTTGACGCCAATGATGATGGAACATTAGACTTTCAGGAGTACGTCGTTGCTCTTCACATGACCTCCTCAGGCAAATCCACCTTGAAGCTAGAGTGGGCTTTCTCACTGTTTGATGTGGACAAGAATGGTTACGTCACAAAACCTGAAGTGATTGAACTCAGCGAGGTAAGAAAATGAACAGATAAAATGTACAATGTACTTTCACATAAAAAGTACAAGAACAGCTGCTGAAGGAGCTGTGTTCTCCATACTGGACAAACCACCATTCCACAGATTGAGTTCCCAAGATTTAGCATGTACTATGAAAAAATATTATGCTTTTCTATTTTCCTGATATCCTTTTTAGCTTTAAGTATGTCCATTCTGTACCACTATAGCATCACCCAAACAAATGATTTCAAAGAGATTTCCCCCAAACAGATAATCTTCACAGAACGCCCCCAGACTTACTGAATGCATTGGTTTAGTCATTGTAAATGCATTGGGTTGGTAATAAGAGAATAAATAATTTGTATTTATTTCTCTATTAGCCATGCAGTTGGCGGGTAAAAGTATACCGTCAGAACAGAAACTTAAGGAACATCTGCAGTTATGAAATACAGCAAAAATAAATGCCATCTATTAATTAAATGAAGAGTGATAGTATTTTATATAGAGATAATTAATGGACCACTTAAAAATGCCAACAATCTTTGTGAATACATAAATATAAAACTTTATTAACGTAAAGTCAGTAAAGGTTCATTCAAAATTTACGTTGCTCTGAAATTTTATGGGCGAAATGCAGCCATTACCTTTAAGGGGATACTCCACTTTTTTTTGGAAATAGGCTCATTTTACAACTCCCCCAGAGTTAAACAGTTGAGTTTTACCGTTTTTGAATCCATTCAGCCTACTTTCTGATATTTAGAAGAATATCAGTAACCAGACAGTTTCTGGTCTCATTGACTTCCATAGTATATTTTTTTCTTACTATGGAAGTCATTGAGACCAGAAACTGTCTGGTTACAGATATTCTTCTAAATATCAGAAAACCAGCTGAATTGATTAAAAAACAGTAAAAATCAACTGTTTAACTCTGAGGGAGTTGTAAATTGAGCCTATTTCCAAAAAAAAGTGGAGTATCCCTTTAAAGTCGGGGATGATTCGGATTGGCTATCAATGTTTTTTTTATAGTCATCATGGTTAATGTTTGTCGTGGTTATAAGTTGTGTTGTGGACTTTGCTATTCTCAGAGAATTAATAGCATTTACTCTCTCAGACAGTAAAGGTGCAATCACTACCATTGCTCTGTGAAAGTTTGCGGGCGAAATAAGGCCATTTTTGAATTCATGTGATCAGGAGTTTGATTGGTCGAAAAAAAAAAAATCCTAACACAGATTTAACTCCAAATGGTCAAACAAATTGTCAACGTTTACCAACAGAAAGTTGCTTGATTTTAAAGTGACTTGTGTGAGCTGTGATTCATATTGCTAAACTATTAACAATGAACAATTCACCTTTTTTGTCTGCAAAATTTCCTTAGTGTGACTGGTGGAGCTGGTAAGTTTGCCTGGTGTGGCGAGACCACACCTAAGTCATAAAGGATCATGGCTGAATAAATGAGTCCTAGAGTCAGGTCATTTTTACAGTGACTTTTAAACCATAAGAGCATTTAAAATCAAAGCTGACCTAAGATCAGTGATTAGAAGCATGGAGTGACATCACCCTTAAGCCCAAGCTCTATAAGAACTCATCGCAGAGGGAGACAGAAGGATTCGGTGGTGGGTACTGTGTGAGAGATAAGCGCCTCAATGTGCAATCAGGATTTAAGACCATGGGCACAGGGGGATTCAATGACATGTCAACTCTTAAGCCTTCTTCTCAGAAATGGCCGATCAATATCCCAGGGAGTAGTGTACGGTGCTGGACAGAGATGTTGCAGATGAATCATCAGAATATCCCTTATTTATATCATCTAGAGACAGTCAACTCTCATTCAAATATAAACAGTGTAATATTACATCAAAGCAGGACTTATGTTGCGAATACCATGCATTATTGGGTTGTGGTGGTTGTATGTGAGCACTCATGGTAACAATAGAGTTTCCTTCAAATACCTGTGCCAGGTATTTTGAAGTAGCATAACAGCTTAACACATAATTTATCTTAATTTAAATATATGAGTAAGCTAATTCATAGATTTTACTTAAAATGACCATGTTATCTCAACTTAGCCTAAATATTTTAGTAGTAGGCCTACTGGAAACTTTTCTATTTCAGTACTAAGTTTCAACTTGGTAACACAATGCTTTAATAGCATTAGCATCGTATAGGCTACTATTAAATGCTGAAAGAGTAAACATTTAACATACCAGTTCCCAAACCAAGCTCATGCTTCACTCTTGATGGTAATCCAAAAAATAAATAAATAAATAAATAAAAAATCTATCATCTATAGACCTTATGCACCAGAGAAACGAACTTTTTACGAGCAGTTCATTCTACCTACGCAAGATCGCTGTGAAAATACAGACCGGAAGTCAAAAGACAATGAGCGCAGCGCTGAAAAGGGGCGGGGCTACATAGGGTCTATAGCCGTTCCGTGACCGTGGAGAGCGAAGGTTCGTTTCTCACTGGATTTGTCATCTATAAAGGTTAAAGAAAAAAAATTAGCTGGGGTGCCCCTCACAAAAATGTGGGGAAATTTTGTGAGAGCCTGATATCCAAAATGGCTGCCGCTGGAAATTAACTTTTTAATGGTTTTGCCCACAGTGCTGCATAATACATGGTTTCTGTGACTATTTGGGTCAAGAAATTCATAGATTATGTAGATTTATTTATTTTACCTATTTTTGACCTTCAAATTCAAGATGGCCGCCATTTGGCTCTTTAAAGTGAGATGCAACTACATGTGAATAGGGTAAAAATTTTAACTTACAGCCATGAAACTTTACCAGATGATTACTCGCATGAATAGGAGAAGAAAAGTGTTACCCTCTTCTTAATTAGCATAGCAAAACATTACACACTAGCCAATCTCCCACTTAACATTAATCTTGCACATAAATCATTATATAACACTTAGCAATTACTCTCTCTTTTGAGTGTCATGCTGGAAAAGAGATATTCCTGCCCAGTTTCAGTTAAATGTATGTTTGCCTAAATTAAAAGAAACAAGTTAATACAACTCAAAACAATGAAACAATTCCGATTACTTAAAATGTGTCAGATTTGGGAACTCAAAATAAAAAGAATGTTCTGAATACTCATAAAAGTTCATTTGATTGAACTAATTAGTTAAGATTAGCCAACTCAAATTCATTATTTTTAGCATTAGGATTTACAGTATGTTTGATTCAGATGAACTAAAAATTGCCCAAGATTCTTCAAACTGTAGTAGCGATGCCCTGTCAGAAAATTGGTCGTAAAAGAAGATGGTCTTGTGACAACTCTGAGAATGTGACATATTTGTGTTGCGCTTTGAATTGTGTTAAAATCCTTATTTTGACGCTTAACCCTTATTTGTGTAGAAACAGATCACCATGAATTTTTTGTTTTGTTTCGTTATTTACTCACAAATCTGTAAGTCAACCTGTATTCCTTTCTTTCAAGGGACATATGAGGAGACAGTTCACCCTGAATCATTCAGTACAAATCATTGTCTACACCAACGTAACATGACTGTGTATTATAAGTGGGCTATCTTTAAATGCTCAAACTCTCTTAAAGGGATAGTTCACCCAAAAATGTAAATTCTGTCAGCATTTACTCACCCTCAAGTTGTTCCAAACCTGTATGAGTTGCTTACTACTGTTGAACACAAAAGAAGATATTTAGAAAAATGTTGGTAACCAGACAGTTAGCCAATGACTATTGGAAGTCAAACTGTCTGGTTACAAACATTTTTCTAAATATCTTTTTTTGTGTTCAACAGAAGTAAGCAACTCATACAGATTTGCAACAACTTGAGGATAAGTAAATTATTTTTGGGGTGAACTATCCCTTTAAGTTGGATGGATTCAACGTTATCATTCCTCTCTGTCCTTATCATTAGTTGTGATATGTTGCTGACTTTGCTATATTCTTAATTAGAACGATTATTTAAACTTTATATTATTCTTGGTGTGAGCCCTTACACACAATATTACAAGTCTTCTGAAGTCATAATAGTTTTATGTGGACAGACCAAAATTGAAATAGTTATTTGCTGAATGTTGCCTTTTTAGCATAACTCATATATTGACTTTTTATGGTTTGAAAAGTTGCAGACTAATACTTTTTCACACTGTTCAGAGTCATGCAGATTTGTAATTTGAGTTAGAAGAGCACTTCAAATCTTTATCTCGCAAAGCTCTTAAGTAAGATTGGCACAGCTGGCACTATTTCATCTATTTGTATTGACCTATTGTTAGGTAACTTCAGTTTTATTAGGGTGAAACAAATCAACGAACAAATCACCAAACAAGCAAGTTAAGCTCTAAAGAAGAAGTAAGACATATATAGCACTCAGGCCAAACAGAAATAAATTTAGCACATAGCCTCAACAAAATCCATTAAAACTGAGCTAAGCATGGATTACAGAACAAAATAACAGATTTAGAAATACGCCTTTGTGCGTCATAAGATGTTATCCAAAGAATAGGCCCATGTAATGGCCAAAAACAACACCAACCAAAAAACAAAAAAACAAACAAAAAAAAAAAGACTGGACAGAAGAAGTCATAGTCATTATTTGCAAAAGGAATACAATTGCTATTTTAGTGACCCTGACTATACTATTGCATAAAGTGATATTATGTTTTATGGGTCTTGACATTTTGCATGTTGATAAACTAATAAACTTTATTCTAATTCAGGATTCTGTTATTTAATTCAAGCCAGTAACTTGATCCAGCTCTCTCTGATTTCCCATCAGGCCCTTTTCAAACTTATACCCAAAGAGAAGCAGGCAAGTCTTCCCAGTGATGAAAACACACCAGAGAAGAGAGCAGAGAAACTCTGGTCCATCTTTGACAAAAAGGACAGTGGTAAGAAACTAAAGATGGTCTGCTCTTATAGTTGTTATTCATGGAAGCTTGTTACCACCATGGAATACATACAGTAAATAAAAAGGTCATTTTGACTTTCCATTTCACAATAATTACAATGCACGTTTGAGCTGTTTTAACCGAATGCAACTTAGGTCAGGGCCATTGTTTTAATCAGCCCTGTGTTTGAAACTAGGCACACATGCCACAATTTGGACTTTATAATTAACAATTGTGAGTTTATTTCTTACAATTCTGAGAAAAAAAAAGTGAATTGTCAGACATAATCTCTGAATTGCGAGGGGAAAAAAAGTCAAAATGACAAGCTTATTTTGTCACAATTTGTCACAACACAGTTGTCACAACACATATCTCTCTATTCTATATTTTCTCAGAATTGTGAGACATAAACTTAGTTAAACTGCAAAAAAAAAAATTTCGACAACAATTTTTTTTCACATTGCTTTAACTCACCAAAATAAGTAAAGTAATAACAATTTCAATTTATACAACTCAACAATTTTTTTGAAGGCAGTTTAATGTAATTTAAGTTTGAAATGACTCAAACACTATGGCAAGTCGTTTTAGCTTTTATTCATTTCCAGGATATACATTATTGATATCAACAATTCAATTCTTGATATCAACAATTAATTTTTTTGATATCAACAATTTAATTGATGATTTCTTTAACTCTATTTTCACTAGTGAAATTTCACCAATTTTCAAAATAAATTGTTGATATCAATAATTGATTTTTTACTAGTAGAAATATCATTTGATATCAATAATTACATTGTTACTAGTAAAAATGCGAATTCCTGATATCAATAATTAAATTGTCACTAGTTGAAATGTCTATTCTTGATATCAACAATTCAATTGGTACTAATAAAAATGATCATTTTTGATATCTGAAAATGTATTTCTGATATCAATATTATTTCAGATATCAAAAATGGCTTTCTTACTTAATCACATTCATGATATCAGAAATTAACATTATCACTAGTAAAATTGAACAATATCATTGTTTCTAGTAGCAATTAAATTGTGGATATCAAGAATAGACATTTCAACAAACTGAATTCTTGATATCAAAAATAAAGGTTTTACTAGTAATAATTGTATTTCTGATATTTGAAATTGGAATTTCAACTAGTAAGAAATCAATTCTTGAGATCAACAATTGGTTTTAAATGGCATGGTGAAAATACAATTGTTGATATCAAGAATTGAATTGTTGATATCAAGAATTCATATCTTGGAAATGAATAAAAGTTAAAACGGCTTGCCATACAAAAAATCAAAGGGAGTAACTTTTTTTTATTTATTTTATTTATTTATTTACAGTGAAGACCTAAAGTCTGAATTGCGAGATACAGTATAGTTTGAATAAAATATTCGAATGTAATTCGGAGAAACAAGTCTTAATTGTGAGATGTAAATGCACATCTCCAAGAGAAAAAAAGCTACAATTTTCTATTTTATTTTCTATTTTTTTTTTATATTTCATGGCAAAAACAAGCTTCCATAGATATTAGCATACAGGCAACTTATTCATATCAAATTCTCTCTCACGCCTGCAGAGCGAATCGCAGAGGGGGAGTTCATCCAAGCCGTCCAAGATAGCGACATTGCACTACGGCTCATTCAGTATGACCATAAATGATCCAACATAGTCACGCAAATGACAGTTTGCTCATGCTTGACTTCATGTGTATTAGTTGTACACTAAATGTGCTCATTAAAGATTCACCATCCTTAATTTGTGTCACCATTAAGCAATTGATATCTGTTTAAATATAATAATAGTGCATTCCACATATCCACATATTTTGACAGCAATATCTTAATATCTGTATGCTGATTTGTTTAATCACATACCTTATATAGTAATAGACTTATTTAGATTGTAGTTTGGAGGTTCATGTTCAGTTGCTGTTGTTCAGGGGTATCAAAATGTGTTGGATTTGAAACTGATGTGAAATTATTGAAGATGTTTGATTAACATATATGGTGTCATTGTTTTTGTTTTTTCATCCAAACAAGATTTTGTACTTTATTACACTGTAATATTATTATTGCATTACAGTGGCGTAAAGACAACATCTCACAAGTATTCTCTTTTCTAAGACAGCTAACTTTTTTTTTATTAGAATTTTGATTTGAATATTCATATTCATACATTCATATGTCTGCTTTACCATAATATGAATGCTGTAATCTGACCATTGAGACAACATTCCCTAAAGAAAAGCATTTCTCCTCTCTTGTCCACTGTGATTTTGATTTTCTTTTCGTAGCATTCCTCATTCTGGGGAGATTATTCACATAATCTTCGGTCAAGCTTTTGAAAGCATCTGTCTAAAGCTGCTGGGATTCCTCTGTTTGTTGTAATCTGTCCATCACTCCATCTTGTTGTATATTCAGATTATGTGATATTGTGCATGGTGAAAAAAAAAAAAAAAAAAAAAAATCCAACGAAGTGGAGAATAGACGTACAGATTGACATAAAACAGAGAGCCAGATGTAATCCGAACGAGACATAATTGAAAGCACAAATGTTCCTAGAATTCCTGAAGTAAACTCTCGATATGAATCATTGAGGGAACAAACTCTTGGGGTCCTACTCTTGTGTGCAATTGTAAGTACTTAAAGGGATAGTTCACTTTTAAATTAATTTTTGGTATGTTTTAGCTTACCTCAAGGGCATATTTTTAGGTCAAACCGTTCTTGTCTGTCAGTCATATAATGCAGGTCTATGGTCACCACCTCAAAGAGCATGCACAGAGAAGTCCAAATTAAACATGATCTTAATTAAACGGTCTGTGCAAGCGCTGGAAAACGCTGGAATTGATCTCCCGCGCGTGTACGTCACTCATTGTTTATGCAGAGATTCTTCCGGGGCTTTCCAGCGCTTTCTGGCGCTTGCGCAGACCGAAGTACCCGCGCCTTCAGATCAGGTAAAAACAATATAAATGCTGTTCGTTTTCTCACACAAACCGCTCGTTTCGTGTCTTAGGCCATTAATGTGTACTTACATTTACGAGTCATTAAATCATGTTTAATCTGGACTTCTCTGTGCATGCTCTTTGAGGTGGTGACCATAGACCTGCATTATATGACTGATAGACAAAAACGGTTTGACCTAAAAATATCAAAATCAAAACTACTGCGGAAACTAACACAGTCTCATCCCAAAAAGTCATATAACTGACGTCTTGGGACGTTTTTTGACCATACGTCAATATCCGCCTTTTTAGGGCCCCCCTTAGATGGCGATCCCGGGCCGTCATACAACTGACGCTTTACCTTTAACGTCAGTTAGGTGACGGGTTAGGTTTAGGGTTAAGTTTAGGTCTGGGGTAGAGTTAGGATCCCATAACCTCATCTACCGACGTTTAAGGGGGCCCTAAAAAGGCGAATATTGACGTATGGTCAAAAGACGTCCCAAAACGTCAGTTATATGACGTCTTGGGATGAGACCGGGTTGCGGAAACAAAGACACCTACATCTTGGATGCCCATTGAGGTAAGCTAAAACATCTCAAAAATAAATTTCAAAGTATAACTATCATTTTAAAGGACATTTAATGCTTTAATTACAGTCCAAAATGACTCTGGACTCTGTTTTGAGAAAAGAATAAAACGATACGAAACTTCACATGTTTATTCGGAATATGCTGATTACGTGAAGGGATATTTTAATGGCTGCAATACATGTAAACGTCTTTTTCAGAATAAAGGCTTAACCAAAGTATGGATCTGAATTGGAAAATGACATGCATGTAAACTTGGTCACTGATGCTGCCAATGACGAAGGACTTCCTGCAGTTTAGTTGGGCGTTACTTCCGTGCGAATGTCCCTTATTATCATGTCTCCTCAGCACATTTCATCATTCCCTTCCCTCTCCAACTCATCTTCCACCTCATCCATTTCTCTCTCGCAGTCCTCGCATCCCTCTCTCCCGCACCCCCTCACCAGCACCAGTCCGTGAGGACTTTTCACCCCCACCATACCCCCACCAGATACTTCCTCCCCGGGGGTCCACACAGTGTCGATAAACGCACCCTTCTGGCTTTGCTGAACCAGTTGGCTGACCGAGTAGAGGCTCCCACCACCGGTCGTGATGACCTCATCATAGGGCGGCGCGTGGCTGGCGGCACGGGCCTCCTCCAGACGGATCCGGGCACGGTGCTTCATCTCGATCACAGTCTTGGTGTAAGAGTTCAGGGTGAAAACGGCCGCTGCCATGCAACAGCTGAAGGAGATCCACGCCATGCTGTGGAGGAGCACCAATGGAGGCTTAAGTGTGAAGTAAATTAGGAGTCAAAACATTTTTTTTGTTTTTTTTTTAAATGATGATTTGCAACTTAAAGTTCAAAGGTTTGGTAAGACTTTATTGGATGCATTTATTTGATCAAAAAATACAGTAAAAGCTGTAATATTGTGAAATAGTATTACAATTTAAAATACTTGTGTTGTCTTTTAATTCTATTTTTGGATGGAAAAGCTGAATTTTCAGCATTATTACTCCAGTCTTTACTGTCATATGATCCTTCAGAAATATTTGAATATACTGATTTGGTGCACATGTAACATTTCTTATTATTATCAATGTTGAAAACAGTTGTGTTGCTTAAATTTAAGGAAACTGTGATGCAATTTTTTAATGAATAGAAAGTTAAACAGCAGCAGGGAACATCATTTATTTGAAATATCTTTTTTTTTTTACAATCTATTTATATACACACACATACATATAGTAAATTACTGTAGAATACACACACACACATTTGTATGTGATATATGAAAAAATAAGTTAAGTTCTTTATTTAACATTTTTATTAATTAATATGACAACAAACATAATGTTTATAAAACTTTTAGTTTATCTCTCGGTTTAAATAATATAACGAGTCCCAGATTTTCAATGTCATCTCAGACTAAAATAGAAAAGGTAAAATAGAAAAGAAAAACACAGATATAAAGGGGAGCAAATAAAAGTATGGACAAGAGAAAGATGGAGACTTACGCAAACGACCAGCCGTAGTCCCAGGTCTGTGGTCTCCAGTCCTTGGGCCCGATGCTGACAGTCATCTGGAATACTGTTGTATACATCATATGTGCCACCATTCCCATCAGACCTAAAATGTAGAAAAGATATAGTTGTCCCTGTTTGTCTCTGTTAAGAAGCATGTTTTTCACCAAAGCTCTCAGAAACTCACCAGACAGCACAGTACACATGGCAGCAAAAGCATTGATCTTGAGCGCATGCATTTCCTTATTCAGACACAGGAGCAGCAGTTCCACCCACATCAGAAGGAAGCCCATCGCCAGGAGGCTGATGTATGCAAACTCGGATATGACTGAGAGCCACAGAACTCCTACAGCATATGAAACACAAATGAGCTATTTCAGAAACATTTCATGAACAGTTTTTCTACATGTACAGCTCATAAATGTCTCACCTTGTGTTTCTCCAGGGGTCAGTTCAATAAAGCTCCGACATTTCTCACCTGTGAAGAATAAGCACAGTCTTCACCTATGCATTCATCCATCCATTCATCCATCCATCCATCCATCCATCCATCCATCCATCCATCCATCCATCCATCCATCCATCCATCCATCCATCCATCCATCCATCCATCCATCCATCCATCCATCCATCCATCCATCCATCCATCCATCTATCTATCTATCTATCTATCTATCTATCTATCTGTCTGTCTGTCTGTCTGTCTGTCTGTCCGTCCATCCATCCATTTATTTATCTATCTGTCTGTCTGTCTGTCCGTCCGTCCGTCCATCCATCCATTTATTTATCTGTCTGTCTGTCTGTCTGTCCGTCCGTCCGTCCGTCCATCCATCCATTTATTTATCTATCTGTCTGTCTGTCTGTCCATCCATCCATCCATCCATGTATCCATCCATCTATCTGTACGTCTATCTATCTATCTATCTATCTATCTATCTATCTATCTATCTATCTATCTATCTATCTATCTATCTATCTATCTATCTATCTACGTCTGTATGTCCAACCGTCCATCTATCTGTCCATCCATCCATCCATCCATCCATCCATCCATCTATCTATCTATCTATCTATCTATCTATCTATCTATCTATCTATCTATCTATCTATCTATCTATCTGTCTGTCTGTCTGTCTGTCTGTCTGTCCGTCCGTCCGTCCGTCCGTCCGTCCGTCCGTCCGTCCGTCCGTCCGTCCATCCATTTATTTATCTATCTGTCTGTCTGTCTGTCCATCCATCCATGTATCCATCCATCTATCTGTACGTCTGTCTATCTATCTATCTATCTATCTATCTATCTATCTATCTATCTATCTATCTATCTATCTATCTATCTATCTATCTATCTATCTATCTATCTATCTATCTATCTATCTATCTATCTATCTATCTATCTATCTATCTATCTATACGTCTGTATGTCCAACCGTCCATCTATCTGTCCATCCATCCATCCATCCATCTATCTGTCTGTCTGTCGTCCGTCCGTCCGTCCGTCCGTCCGTCCGTCCGTCCGTCCGTCCATCCATCCATTTATTTATCTATCTGTCTGTCTGTCTGTCCATCCATCCATGTATCCATCCATCTATCTGTACGTCTGTCTGTCTATCTATCTATCTATCTATCTATCTATCTATCTATCTATCTATCTATCTATCTATCTATCTATCTATCTATCTATCTATCTATCTATCTATCTATACGTCTGTATGTCCAACCGTCCATCTATCTGTCCATCTATCTGTCCATCTATCTGTCCATCTATCTATCTATCTATCTATCTATCTATCTATCTATCTATCTATCTATCTATCTATCTATCTATCTATCTATCTATCTATCTATCTATCTATCTATCTATCTATCTATCTATCTATCTATCTATCTATCTAAACAGTGATGCTTATGTAACTTAAGAAACTTGTAGGCGTGTCCTCTGAGTTGTGTAAGTCTGACTTGTTGAAGCAGATGTTGAGAACTGGGGTGACCCAATGTCAGATAAATGAGAGGAAAGAAATGGCACAGCAGGAAGCAGATGTTCAAGGGACTGAATCAGGACATTAGTATCAAGAACAGCTTTGACAGATGACCACGTGACAGTTGTTTATGTGTAGTTGTACTCGAATTACTCCATTAATTGGATGAATTTTATATCATATGAAAAACATTACAAGACTCAATCCATGCCAAATATTGTCAAAACAATTCTGTCCGCAAAAGTGAATTTTGATGTTTTGTTGCTTTAAAATTTTTTCTTTAAAAATGAACATGCATCAGAAAGAAGCACAGATGCATAAACGCTCACAAGCACCTTCGCTGTGTTTCTCACAGGACAACCAGAAGCCAGTGTGAAAGTAGCGCAACATGTATTTGTCTTCTCCCGTCTCCCAGATGTAATGGACTGCATTTGCCAGATTTTTGGCTTTTATTCGGTCCATTTCCTCCTTCTGCTTTGGGGACATTGTCACATTGGAAGCTGGTTTCTTAGGGTCTGCTGTTGGGACCTCTGAGGAAAGAGAGAGAATTTAACTCCATGAAAAAACAATGGAAAAAAGAGGCAGACTGCTCCTGTATACACACATACCAGTCATTTTTGCTATTGACTAGAATGGATCTCTCTTGCATGTAAATAACTCAGTGTTCACTTAATCTGAATAAAAACCTTCGTTTTGAATCCCACAAGATTTAGATGTAGTGATAATCTCCCTCCGTGTAAGTGGGGTTAAAATGATCTATTAGATTTGTAAAGGTTGTTTGACAAAAGATTACACTACAGCAAGTACTGATGTAAATCTCTGAACTTAACAGTTTGAAAGTGCAATAGGTTATGTCAGGAGATTATTCAGGACAAAATCTGTATGTATAAGAGACTGCACTCTAGTAATCCTATAGTCAAGTGTTTTATGCAATGCTAGGACTGGGATCTTATTTGCGAACAGTTTTCCGGTGTAGACACAACCTTACCAGCTGTGTAAGGCTGGCTGTTGTTCTGTCCGCAGTTCTTCATTTTCACAGGCGACAGACAGAGAGGTTTGACCACTTTATGTGTGCCCTCGCACCAATATGAGGTGCAGAAGGCCAGCACAGAGAGCGCTAGGGCCAGAGAGGTCAGCGAAAGAGACAGCAAGGACCGACTCCTGCGAGACATCTGCTCCAACATGGTGGAATGATACAGATAGTACCTGATAAAGCAGATAACAAGGAAAAGACAACATCCAGGCTCTGAGAAAGAAGCTTTGCATGCATATGCACCTACAGATGAAATTCCAGTTGAGGAGGAAATGCGGGCAGTGGAGTATGGGAAAGTAAGATTACTAAACATGATTGAAGCCGCATGCCAATGTCAAAAGTCAGAGAGGAGGAGTCCATGAGCGAGGGAAATGAATAGGAATTGAAGATGCAGAATTTAAGGTCGGTGGAAGTGAGATGATGAGCTGAGGAGGGAAAGGAAAGGAAATGAGACGGATTTGAGGAAGTGAAAACACTTGCCAATGCCTTTCTTAGGATTCCATATAAAAGACGCAATTTTTTTCACAGCCGGGAGAAAAATCCACAAATGTTCCCTCAGTCCACGAGCAACAAATATAGCCAATATGTCCTCAAAGCACCCAAAGTCAAAGGAAATCTTTATGCTGAATGTGTCTCTCGGATGTGTTTGTTGTTGTTCAATCAAGAAGGACCTTGTTTCTTCTCTTTGTTCTTGCCCATCTCTCCCACCTGGCCTCTTTCGTGGAGAGATTACAACATTCAGAGTATTTCGTACTTATTCCATGTCTTAATCACCATAGTCTATTTCTTTGTAATCCTTCATGATCTTGGTTAATCTACAAGGTACATCTGTCTGTCCTGGTCCATCCAGAGCCCCCTGGAACACCTATGCACAGACCAGAGAAATGTATTATGACATCTTCAGTATTCTGAAATATTTAGATCTGTGTAAATATAGTTTTTTTTTTTCATGTGAAAATGTTAAATATCAACACTGTAAAAAAAATTGTGTTCAATTTACGGTAAAATACTTGCCAGAAATGTACCGTATAAAATACGGTAGTCAGATACGGTAGTCTTAATTTACAGAAATAAAGCATATTTATTATCTGATTTATTGTTAAATTATCGACTAATTGAAGTATTAATATCTGTTTTGTACCACTGTAATACACTGACAACCAACAATCACAGCAGTGATGAGAGTCACATGATATATGGAAGCTCATCATATTAAGCTCTTCCATAAGAAACTTAATGTTAATATATAGAAAGCTGCACAGTGTCATTCACTCACACATTAAACATCATGGTAACACACATGGAATTTTAAAAAGGCAATAAACATTAAATTAACAACAATAAATGTCAAAACTGATTAGAAAAGACAAGTTATTTCAACAAAAATACATCAAATGTGAAGTGTCACACAGGGAATTGTGGGAATGTCAATTTATACAATGTGTTGTTCATTTTCACTTTAAAGGGATACTCCACTTTTTTTTGTAAAAGGCTCATTTTACCACTCCCTCAGAGTTAAACACTTGGGTTTTACCGTTTTTGAATCCATTCAGCCGATTTTCTGATATTTAGAAGAATGTCAGTAACCAAACAGTTTCTGGTCTCATTGACTTCCATAGTATATTTTGGAAGTCAATGAGACCAGAAACTGTCTGGTTACTGATTTTCTTCTAAATATATATAAAAAAAATTGTCTGAATGGATTTGAAAACAGTAAAACTCAACTGTTTAACTCCAAAAAAGTGGAGTATCCCTTTAAAAACTGTAAATTTAATGGTATTTTACAGTAAAATTACATTACATTTACCATTAGATCTATCACAGTTATTTACCGTATAGCAAGGAAAGGTTCTGGTAACTAATTAACAGATTTTCACTGTAGCATTCACTGTAGCAACATCTATCCATCTATCTATCTATCCATCCATCCATCCACCCATCCATCCATATATGTATAACTTTCAACACAGATATTTAAATACTTATGATCAAATGAGGAATGAATAATTACACGATATACTTGCAGGTATATATGCAGTGCAACTGGTAATATAATTCTTACAAAAAATTCCATTCCAAAAAAAAAAAAAAAAAAAGCCAATTAAATTAAATTCAAAATAAAATCGTTTTTCCCCCCACATTTTTAATAAAGGCAAAATTCATGTCCGAAAGAAATTTCATTTAAGAAAACCTGCACACAAATGTTGATCACAAACAACTGCATAAAAAATAGAAATACAACCCACCTCAGCCAACGTGCGTCTGTCTCTGCAGTTTCACTTTTATTATCTCACTGTCTCTTTTCTTTTATTCATTCTCATCCTTGAATGTATGTTCATGACAAACCCACCCAGATTTCACTTAATCTGCCCAAGTCCATCTGTTCCTTCGATTCTGCCTCTTTCTATAGTTCCATTTAAATCTCTCTCTCTCTCTTCGCCCACAACCAGGTTACATTCATCTCCTCCATGTAAGACTGTTGAATTAAAGGATTCTCTTTAGATGTTCACAGTGTCAAGTCCTCCCAAGCACATGTATTTTATTTATATAATCTTAAGAGCTTTTCAGACAGCATTGTATCTTCATGAACCACATCTAAAACCAAGCCAAATAACTAGTGTCGGACAATTCTTTATTTCTCTTCTTTCATCAGTTAAGGATGCAGTAGCCTATAAAGGTTACGAATATGATTACAGGTTCAGTATAAATGGCAGCGGAAAACTGTAAAAATAAATAAATAAAATTACATTATGGAATTGTGGTGTTTTTTTGTTTGTTTGTTTTTTCCCCCCTGAAATCTTTTCTCTACAGGAACACTGAGATGGTGAGTCTTGGAGATCCCAATAGAATCATGTTCCCCCTGGTGGTTAAAAGACTATTGTGCAATAACATGACTCAGATAATGATTTTATGTGGTAATTAATAGAAATAAGGCTTACAGTGAGTTCATTTTAAGATTTTTAACTTAATCTGTTATGTTAGCTCCTTTCCTCATTATGAAGCCTTGCAGTCAATCAAGAATGAACTTTTTTGCCCATTTGATAAAAAGCCAATCTAAATGTCAATGCACCGAAACTGAAACATTACGCAAATAATAAAGTCACTATAGAATGAAGGATATGCTTTTCAATGATCTTGTCACTTTATTCTTAAATTGTGCACTTTCACAGGTAACACCACAGGTTTACCATAGCTGGTTAAATAAATAAATAAATATATTTGTAATACAATATAAAATCGTAACTGAACCTATAATTATAGCCAATGTGGAAAATATATGCTTTTTTCATACATTTTTTTTTAAATTTCATCAAATTATAATGAATTTGATCTTACAGCACACTCTTCCTTCAGATAAATGACCAAAAGAAAAAGTCAGATTAATAAATAAATAAATAAATGCAACAATAAAAATAAACATATTTTGCAACAGACAGCAAACTGAACATGAATCTTCTTTATATCAATATTCGAACGTTTTATATCTTTCTCTTCATGTAATCTCTTATTCCTCTCATATTGTTAACTTGCTTAAATAAGCAACAATTCCCAACAAATATTGTGCATGATCGCCACTTACAATGTTACCTTGACTAAAGAACAGATCAATTTCAAACCACATAACATAACCCCCCCAAAAAAGAAAGGAAAATTGAGGTGTTCAGTTTTAGGACCCTAAAAGTTTAATACACCCCATACCTGACGTAACCAACTAAAGCATAAAGCTGTTTATGACTGGAATGTTTTTTTTTAATCATAATAATCACTACAAGCCACATATGGATATTTCAATATGCACAATCCTGTGTTTTATGCTTAAAATAGCAATAAAAGACAAATATATTCAATGATGGTTACAATGTCAAAGCACGTCTAGGTCTCCAACTTGGTGGCTTCCTTGGTTATTCAGGTATGTTTGGGAATACAAATCAGTTTTTTTTTTAACTCCTCATAGCAAGTTAGATGTTTATCCAGCTATGTTATGTAGCTACGTTTGGGGTCACTAAGATTTTTTTTAATGTTATGAAAGTCTCTTGGGCTCATCAAGGCTTAAACTGAAACATGATACAGTAAAACATTCCGGTGAAATATTACAATTTAAAATTAGGGTATTCTATTCTAATATATTGGAAATGTAATTTATTCCTGTGATAGCAAAGCTGAGTTTTCAGTAGTCTTCAGTGTCACATAATCCAGATTTGCTGCTAAAGCTGCTTAAAGAAGTACTGTAGTTCACTTTAAAAAAAAAAAAAAAACTTTTGCTAATAATTTACTCAACCCCATGTCATCCAAGATGTCCACGTCTTTCTTTCTTTGGATGAAAAGAAATTAAGGTTTTTGATGAAAACATTCCAGGATTTTCTCCATATAATGGACTTCAATGGGAACCAAACGGTTCAAGGTCCAAATGAGAGTTTCAGCGCAGCTTCAAAGGGCTTTAAACGACACCAGACGATGAATAAGGGTCTTATCTAGCGAAACAATCGGTCATTTAAAAAAATTAAAAAGTTGAAAGTTTTATAAGCACAAATGCTCACCTTGCTCTGTTTTGTGATGAGCGTTCGTAACTCTCCTGTTCAAACCCGTTCATCAAAATGAACAAATCTTTTTTTCGAGTCATGATTCGAAGGGTCCTAGATAAGACCCTGGTGTCGTTTAAAGCCCTTTGAAGCTGCACTGAAACTCTCATTTGGACCTTGAACCGTTTGGTTCCCATTGACGTCTATTATGTGGAGAAAAACCTGGAATGTTTTCATCAAAAACCTTAATTTCTTTTCGACTGAAGAAAGAAAGGCGAGGACATCTTGGATGACTTGGGGGTGAGTAAATTATCAGCAAAAGTGTTTTTAAAAGTGAACTACTCCTTTAATATCTTTTTTTGTGAGTGTGTGTGGAAACCATGATACATTTTTAAGGATTTTTGATGAATAGAAAGTTCCAAAGAACAGCATTTATTTGAAATTCAATTCTTTTGTAACATTAATGCATTTACTGATGAATTGTCCTTGCTGAATAAAAGCATATATTTCCAAAATCTGCCAGTGGCAGGTCAGATATTCCAGTAGATAAGCCAGTTATCTTCTAAAACACACTGAAAAACTCCAACAAGTGAATTAACCAAACACCTGCTTCAATCATGTTGGAAAGGCAGGGGTATGCATGCTTTTTTTCCCCAAAACATAAAACTTACGGTATATTGTTGCTCATTAATATTTAAATATTTGCACACACTTATACACACACATAATCAATTAGGATCGATGAAGGTGGTGGGGAAAGGAGAAGGCTAGGGATGAAGAGACCTCAAAAAATGTTATTTCCTTTCCCAACTGCCCCAGTTCCAGAGCCCCAAACCAATGGAGGTCGATGAAGAACTGGAGCTTGTGGGGTAACCCTTCCTGTGAGAGACATAGAAGAAAACTCACCAATAAGAGGGCCAGCAGTGCTGGGTCGTACCATTCTAGCCGCTGTGTGAGGGTTAGCCATGGGAAAGCCCATGTTGGGCATCGTCAAAGCTGAAAGGCTTGCATTCTGGGTTGGAGATGCCATATGGGCGGCAGGCACCCCAAAGGCTGAGTTTAAGGGAGAGAGGCCACTGGAACAGGGTGTCATGGCATTAAAACCAAAATAATTTGGAATGGATGGCTGTGCAACAGAACCGCCTGCATTCGATATGCTGCCGCCCAATGGTCTGCTAAAACCTGTGGCTGGCAAAACACCTGGGAAGGATGAAAGTTGAAAGTGTGCAAACCAAAAAGGGAAGATGGGGAGGGAGGGAGGGAGAAGGGAAATGGATAGCATATAGAAGCAGGGATAAAGCATGTTGAGATGGGATCAACATCAACTACGTACAGGTTATGTTCTGACTATATGAACTCTAGGCTTGTAAAACATCGCATCACAAACACTCAAAAATAAACAGATAACTATACAGTGCTTCTCTCTTTTATTCTCAGTCGCTCTTATTGTCAGTGTCTCTCTCTCTCTCTCTCTCTCAGCCCTCCTTACCCGGGGCTTTTTGAGTGGGGATGGAGCTGAGAGGGGGCTGTTTCGGTTTGGGCTTGACTGACATAAGAGAGTCCAAGTCCACCAATGAAGCACCTTCTCCGAGGAAGGACACTGGCTTTTTGGTCTCCTCAGCAGGTTTTGTAGAAGTGTCACCTATTGACAGAAAAATACATTTGACAGTTACCAGACAGTTGAGGGACCCCATTGACTTCCATAGTATTTTTTTCCTACTATGGAAGTCAATGGGGTCCATCAACTGTCCGGTTGTAGACATTCTTCAAAATATCATATCAACTTATGTTGAGCAGAAGAAAGAAACTCATACACAGGGCCTGAAATTAACACCCGACCACCTGCCAAATGCGGGTGAATTTTTCTATTGGCGGGTAACACTGTCAATCTACCTGCCACATTGGCCGGTAGCCAATGAGAATTGAGTGATTCATTAGGATTTTTACATTTCAACTAAGTCCGCCATTGCATTTGACTTTAGCTAAAATGTGGCGGCACATTACTGGGGTAAAGAGGCCATCTGAAACAAACAACCAACAAAAAGATGAGGATGAGAAAAAGAAAAGTAAAAGAAGATATTTTAATACAAAGTGGACAATTGGCGGCAATGGCAAGGTTCGTGAGCGGCTGATTTATGACAGCGACTGTTGTTTCGGAACGTTCATGCGATCAGAAGAAGACGAGGCCCTATTTCTGACTACGTTTGGATGTGCGAGTATTAAACTGTTGGTGAGATGGGATGAGATAATGTAACGCTGACGTAGCCTTCAGTACAATGACAGTTGCACAGATGTGTGTGTGCGTGTGCAACTGTGCATGTTGGGAGTTGGGAACCAGTGAGAAAATATTCGGTACCCGGTAACTTTACCAGTAATAACATTATTAATTTAGTTCATAGTTAACGGTTCCTGAACGCTGTAACTAAAAGCTCGCAGGATCTGTCTACGTGACTAAATCAGCCATTAACACAGCCGCGTGTGATTTGTTTACATACGAGCTGCGGTAGGTTTATCTGTTGAGTATAGCCTATACTAGCCTATATATTGTGTGAGTGTCAAAATCAATGAATAAAAAGATTTTAAAAAATGTATGTTCTTAGAGTTATTATTATTACTTGACAGCACTTAAATGTGTATTCTTACAAGTGAAAGAACAATATTGTGAAATTCCGGGGGTTTTTTTCACCTTTAGTCTATATAAAGGTGAAAAAAAAAACAGGAATTTCACAATATTGTTCTTTTTACCAGCCATTTTTTGGCTGAGGCAAAAAGTGAGGCAAAAAAAAAAAAAGTGGCTGGTAAAAAGTCTCTGTGGCAGGTGAATTTTTAAATCCACCTGCCACAGTGGCCGGTGGCCGAAAAAGTCAATTTCAGGCCCTGCTCATACAGGTTTAAAACAACTTGAGGGTGTGTAAATGATGACAGAATTTGAATGTTTAAGTGAACTGTTCCTTTAAGACTAAGTTAACCTGTTAATTGACCATGGAAAATAAGATTTGAGACTGCAGACACGAATGGAGAAAGAAAGCTGTTCCATTAGTACCGTTTTCAGAGGAATCTCCCCATGGATCTGATTTACCACCATCCCCGAAAGGGTCACCAGTCGTCACAGCAGCGGATGGGGCACCCCACGGGTCATTCGCAGTGGGGGGTGAAGATGCTGAGAGTAAGAAATACAATGATTAGGTGGAAAAGTGAGCTTTTAGTGTAATTCTCCTGAAAGTACATTTATTTTGTTAGTTTAAACAATCATATGGAGTAGAGCCCGACCGATAAAGGATTTTGAAGGCCGATACCGATACAAATATTTTGGGGTTTTAAAATCCGATATATCGGCCGATATTTTATTTATTTATTTGAAACTGGACATGATAGTCACAAATTTTGTCATGCTTATTTGAGTTAAGAAAACTGATGGGGATGTTCTTTTAATTGTTATTCAAGCAATGTATGTATCGTGACCAACTCAACGAGTGTTGTCAACAGGAACGGTGTAGAGTGCCCTCTGGTGGACAAACTATACAACTCCAACACTCATGACATGGTTCAAGCGTGTTTCGTCCGTTTTTATTTTATTTTTGAAATATTCGTTTATCGGTCATTATAACTGCTGATACCGATAGTTTGGAAAATGCCTAATATCGGCCGATAATATCGGTCTGCCGATATATCGGTCTGGCTCTAATATGGAGCATGTGAAATCTGACATATCTGACATAACACCATCACTTACTTATTAGTGTTTCGTTTAAACTGTAATTTACATTTACACGAATGTTCAAAAGTTTGAAGTCGGTAAAATTCAATAATGTTTTTAAACGAAATCTCTTATGCTCACCAAAGCAGCATTAATATTTGATCAAAAATACAGTAAAAACTGTAATATATATTATAGACCATTTTGCCAGATGTAAACAACACTGGTCCAGAAACACTTCCTGTTTCAGTTTGTAACTGTTTTCTTTATTTCACGTGTAAAAAAACATCTTAAAGATGTTTGTTTAACTTTTTGATTCAGTTTTATATGTTCTGTTGGTTGTATTTTATCCTAGCTTTTATGTAGTGTTAAAAAACTGAAACAGGAAGTGCTTCTGGACCAGTGTTGTTTACATCTTGCAAAATGGTCTATAGTAATATTATACAGCATAACTGGTTTGTTTTATTGGAAAACTGAATTTTTAGACTTCAGTGTCACATGATCCTTAAGGAATCATTCAAATACGCTGATTTGGTGCTCAAGTAACATTTCTTCTTTATTATCAATGTTTTCATGTTTTTCTGGAAACCTTGAGACTTTTTTCAGGATTATCTGATGAATAGGAAGTTCAAAAGAACATCATTGATTTGTTAATTAGGTTTAAAACAAAAAACAAAAAAACTGTTGTGTAAATTCACCAAATTTTGAAGCAATTGTCAATAACATTTGTGTAAACAGTAACATAATTGTCAGGGAGTCAAAAGCTCATGTCATATGTGATGTATCTGTTCTTCAATCCAGCCACTTTCTTACCTGCTGTGCCCCAAGGGTCATTATCTGCTTTTGAACCATCGCCAAATGGATCAGACGTGACTGGTGATGCCCCCCACGGGTCAGAGTTTGCAGGTGCTGAATCCTGCACACTATCCGCCGGTGCTCCCCATGGATCTGATATTGCTGCGTCAGAGTCTTTCGCCGTTTCAGCCCCCCATGGATCATTCGTTGAATTATTCTCCGAAATTCCAGCAGAGTCACCCCATGGGTCACTGGCGGCAGGTGGAGAACCATTCTCGGCACTGGCAGATGTTCCCCATGGATCATTGGATGCGGGTGCAGATTCGGTTTTCCCATCAGCAGATTCACCCCAGGGATTAGAAGCTGAACTGGATTCCTTTGCCTCATCAGACGAGGCCCCCCACGGGTCGTTGGTAGCAAGGGCGGATTCGTTGGATGCGTCGGATGGGGCTCCCCAGGGGTCCGAGCTGGACGGAGGTGTTGCCGTTGCTCCTTTTTCCCAAAGATCTGGCTCTGTGTCACCTTCCTTTGCCTGAATCCACACATTTCCATCATGTCAGCTTAGACAGTCTGATAATAGTCAGACACTGTGATAACACTCAATTCGAATACAATAAAGTTATTGATCAGTCTGCTTACCCGTCTCTCTGCCTCTTTCCTCTCGGCCTCCAGACGTTTTTGCTCTTCCTTCTTCTTGGCCATGGCAGCGGTCAGGTCAGCCACCGATGGGATGTTGTCCAGGGAGGGCAGCCCTGTATATGGGGGGATCTCTGGCTTTTCTTTTTCAGGTCCTGCAGCAGAGGATGCTGACATAAAAAAAGAGAGTTAAATAGATATAATAATAAAAAAAGAGTCAAGACCAAGAAGACACTACAATTCAAAAGTTAACAAATTCAACACGGCTGCATTAAATTAAAAAAAGTCACAGTCAAGACTTTAATGTTACAAAAGAGTTATATTAAAATAAAAAAAAATTGTGAAATTTATCAGAGCAAGCTTACACTGCAATATTAAGCAGCATCTTTAAAATTGATAATAATAAGAAATGTCTCTTGACCAAATCAGCATATTATAATCATTTCTGAAGGACATCTCAAGGACAAAATTCAGCTTTGCCGTCAAAAGAATAAATTACCATTTAAAATATATTAAAATAGAAGGCAGTTATTTTAAATTGCAATTATATTTAAAAATATTATCAACCCCAAACTTATATTGAATCTGTATGTTAAAGATAAAAGTGTGAATAGATTTAAAAATAAGAAGAGACCAAAGCACTATAGCAGACCTACAGACTTTCCAAGTTTGAAGGTTCATAAAGAAATACAACAAAAGTGAATGGTTAATATACTGTAGATAATAAACAAGTACAATAACAAGTTGTATGTGTTACTTTTACAGTGCTTCTTATGTCCTTTTTGGAGGTTCAGCAAAAAAATATATTGTTGTGTTTCATGGAAGAACGAAAATGAATGAATCATGACACAATTTTCATTTTCGGGTACACTGTCCCTTTAAATAAATTTAACAATCGTAATATGCGTAATACCCACCGGAAACTGAAATAACTGAATATAATGTGAGGCTCATATATGCAAGAAAAGTGCTCACGGGTTCATGAGTCTTACCAGTGGGAGCCTTTGTCAACTTGTCTTTTGTCTTCATAGCAAATGCCCTCTCCTCTTTCCTCTTTTCCTCATCCTCAATCAGCACCATCACTATCTTAGCCTTTTCTCTCACATTCACCCCCTAAAAGAGCAAATCCATTATCCATAAGCTTTAAGACCTTTATCCTCTATTATTAATGTAATGAGTGTAGAAGAATCAAATATTTTGCGGTACCTGGTCCTTTCCATCCTTGTCTGTGAAGCGGTACTCTACTAAGATCTTGATAATGTGAATGTTCTCCACACACTGCTGAGGGATGCGGTCAGAGCCCGTTTTCAACAGATATTCAAGAAGGGTTAAAGACTGTTGATGAAAAAAGAGAAAAACATGATCTGTTAGGTGTTTTGTGGTCTGTAAGTTTTTTTTTAAATGTTTTAGAGAGAAGTCATTTACTGTAAGCTCACCAAAAATGCATTTATTTGATCAAAAACACAGTAAAATATATTGTGAAACAACATTTTAAAATAACTTTTTTATTTGTATGTATTTTAACATTTTTAATTATTCCTATGATGTCAAAGCTGAATTTTACACGTTACTCTAAAGTTCAAGGTCACATGATCCGTCAGAAATAATTCTAATATGCTGATTTGCTGTTTAAGAATAATTTGAAAACTGTTAAATATTTTTGTGGCAACTGTGATGCATTTATTCCCAGGATTATTTGATTAATCTGAAGTTTAAAAGATTAGCATTTATCTGGAAAATACATTTTTTTGCATTTTTGCAATTGAATGCATCCTCACTGAATAATATCCAGAGGGTTGTTTTACGTTGGTTTTCCCCATATCATAATGAAATATTTTTTTCTTTTAATATTGATAATCACTCATCGTCAACACCGATTACATGTGGCATTCCACAAGGCTCTATTTTGGGTCCTCTTGTTTTTTTTGTTCTCCCTATATGCTTCCTCTAGGCTCTAGCTTTCAAAAGTAAAGTGTAGTTTATCATTATTATGCTGATGATACACAACTTCACCTTCCTGTCAGGTCAAACGATTGTTGTTCCATCAGTAATCTCATGTTTTAAGGAAGTTTAATTATGGATGTCTGACAATTTCCTCAAGCTTAATGAGAATAAAACTGAGGCCATTGGTTTTGGTTCTTTATTGTGTATCACTGACCTTGACAATCAGTTAGGTACTCTGTTTGTTTAACCTTGCATGATAGAGTTGGGTGTCATCTAAGATTCTGGCGTTTTATATGAGAAGTAGATAAATGCTGTTATTAAAGGAAGCTTTTTACATCTCAAGTCCATTGCCAAATTAAAACTGTTCGTCTGTCAGAAGGACATGGAAATAGTAATTCATGCACTTATCACAATCCAGTTGGATGCAATGCTTATATGTGGGTTTGTCTTAGTCTACTTTTTCATATAAGGAATAGCGCATATCACCCCTGTACTGTTCTCCCTTTCCCTACATTGGTTACCAGTTAGCTATAGAGATCAAATTTAAGGTTCTGCTAGCAATTAAATCCTTGCATGGTCTAGCCCCACAATTCATTTCTGATTTTTTTTAAATTTTATTCTGTACCTAGGTCTCTTCATTCAAATCAGTTACTTCTTTCTGTTCCTCATCCTGCTTGAAATCCAAGCGTGATCAGGCATTTGTAGTTGTAGCCGCCAGGTTGTGGAATGCACAATTGTTTTTTGTTAGATCTTCTTCCATACTGGCAATATTTAGATCTAGGTTGAAGACGCATGTTTCTCTTTACCCTATGACGTGGTTTGAGATGTTTTGATTTGCAAGGGGTTTTATTTGCATGTTTTATTAGATCTTTTTTAAAACTTTGCCTATTTTTTAATTCAGTAAAAAATAGGCAATTTAATTTTTTACTTTATTTCTTTTTGATTGCACAGCACTTTTGGTATAACGTGTTGTTTTTAAATGTCCTTTATAAATAAACTTGAATCTTTCTTTAAAAAATTGTTTTCTATTATTATTATTAGTAATACAATAAAAAATAAAGGGTGTTATGGGTGTTTTGGGCCCCTTTAAAATGTATTTCTACATGATGCTTAAACTAGCACCACTAAATATAGTGTAACTCAATCTCTCTTTCTGTATTTCTCTTTGTCTCTCACTCTCTCAATAACAAAACAAAAGCTGTAAGTAAACATCAGAGGAAGAAACATCATGGCAGTGAAGCTGAATGGAAAATCCTGCCTGTACATAATCAAACACTGCAGAGACAGCATCAATGCCCTGCTGACAGAAAAAAAGCCCAGCCACCAATCAGGTAACATGATCGGGTGCACGATAGAGTCGCAATAACGATCACTTGCTATAAATATTCAATCAGTCTGAGCAGGCAAGCAAGCTCAGAATCCGGTTCCTTTAAACCCGGTGACTGTTCTCTTCTGTTCTCTCCTTCACTCACCTTGTACACGTGCCTCCAATTCTTGTCATCATTGAGGCGTTTCCAGAGCATGGCCAAAATCTCGTTACAGGCCACCACATTGTAGGTCAGGTCGGAGATGTCGGCCATCTGGGAGCTCGATGGCCCCCAGGGGTCATTAGAGGTTGCTTCCCGAACCTACAAAATATATCCAACGTATAAAACATAAAACACTAACCAATAACTCAGAGTTTTCTGTCTCAACAAAGTAAATTAATCTGCACTGGGTACAAAAGATACACTCAGAATAGCTTATTCTCATAGAATATGAATTGAATATATGGATGGCAGATATCTAAGAATAAAAGATTTCAGTATAGAAATTTGTATAGTATAAAAATTGTATCCCACAATGCAATGACACATTTCTATCATCTGTAAAACTGCATTCTTCCATCTTAAAAAACTGTAAAAAATAATCCTGTAAAAAAACGGTAAACTACTGGCAGCTGTGGTTGCCAGCATCATACTGTAAAAATACGGTGTGTTACTGTTTTTGAAATTAAATAATCCTGTAAAAAAACGGTAAACTATTGGCAGCTTTGGTTGCCAGCATCATACTGTAAAAATACGGTGTGTTACTGTTTTTGAAATTCACTGTAAAAAAATAATCCTGTAAAAAAACGGTAAACTACTGGCAGCTTTGGTTGCCAGCATCATACTGTAACTATAAGGTGTGTTACTTTTTTGTAGCTGATAATACGGTTTTTGGCTGTTAATTTCAAAAACAGTAACACACCGTATAGTTACGGAATGATGCTGGCAACCAAAGCTGCCAGTAGTTTACCGTTTTTTTACAGGATTATTTTTTACAGTAAATTACGACACATGCAGAAAAGTTAGTTCATGCGTTCATGACCTCAAGGCTAGATTATTGTAATGCCCTACTGGGTGGTTGCCCTGCGCGCTTAATAAACATACTACAGCTGGTCCAAGACACAACAGTTAGAGTCCTCTCTAGAACAAGGTAGAATGACCATATAAGCCCGAATCTGTTAACACAGCATTGGCTCCCTATTAAACATCACATACATTTTTAAATCTTGCTCATTACTTACAAAGTACTAAATGGCTTAGCTCTTAACACATTATAGTCCTTCACGTCTATTGCGATCTAAAAATTCTGGCCAGTTGATAATATACAAAAAATATCAAAATCAACTGCAGGTGGTAGATCCTTTTTCTATTTAGCACCTAAACTTTGGAACCGACTTCCTAACCTAGAACGGGAAGCAGACACACTCTGTCAGTTTAATATATTGTCTAAAAACAGGTTTAACCCATCATATTTTTATAATGTGATTGTTAGGTTGCATAAAAGAGATCAAGCTGGAACCGGGAACACTTTCTATAACACCCGATGTACTTGTTACATTGTAACAAGAATGACATCTATGCTAATATTAGTCTCTCTGTTTATCCCGAGGTTACCGTAGTCAGCCGGATCGGGTCCATATCCAGATCAGATGGTGGACCTACACCTAGACACAACCACAATGCAGACCTGAACGTCAGCAAAGATCCTGTCAACTAGACAGTCCCCTGTGAAGGCATGGTCGACATGACAGTCATTGGCACAGATCGTCAGCAGAGACCACAAGAACCAGACAGGTCCTCCGCACACACCCTACGGCCAGCTTCAGCTCCACACCGACGTGATGAATCCGATCTTCAAGCAAAAGGAACTAGATGAATATTTTAATGCTATCGATCCGCAATCTGATTTCAGCATGAATCATAATCCGATCGTGTTCGTTCCCACAATTGACCCTGGTTTTCCCAAGGATTTTTTTTCTCCATTCTGTCACCTGATGGAGTTTTGGGTCCTTGACACTGTCATCTCTGGCTTGCATATTTCAGGATGCTCAAACTCAACAATATTGATTTGATTTCACTGACATTATCGGATAAAAACTGAACTGAGCTGGACGATGACTTCACTGTTTTCTGCAGATGAAATGAACTAATTCAATAATTGATTATCTTTACACCGGAACTGATATCAGTTGAACAATGACACTATTTTCTTTTAGAGCTGCTGTACAGCATTATTGAAACAATTTTCAGTTAACACTGTAAAAGCTGCTTTGAAATAATCTTATCGTATAAAGCGGTGTATAAATAAAGGTGACTTGACTTATAGTTGATACAGACAAAAGTCTCACCTTGAAGACTTGAATGGGGTCGACAAAAGAGTAAGAGGAAAAACTCACCTTGACCTCTGCCTCGGAGAAGTTCTGAACAAGGTTCTTCAGTTGGCGTCGCAGCATTGAGTGAGTCATGATGGCGGTTTTGTCCTAGACCTTTTCAAGGAATTGAAATTGTTTTTTTCATTTTTTTTATTGTAAAGTACACATGGTTTCACAAATATGCAAGTAGGATCAACATTGTTACTCATTCCAAATGCAGCATGGATCAAAAACAGTTTCTTATATTTCAAAATCATTGTTTGATAACTTTGATAATTAGGAAACAGATCCTTTATAATACAGCATCAGGCACTATTAGTTATGTTATTAATCTAATTACAATATAAGTTATAAATCAGCCAGTGTTTTTTTAAGAGTTATTGAGAGTTATAGTTTTATTGAGATAATATTAGTTTTTGTTTTAATATTTTCCATTTTCATTTTCAATTTTAGAAAAAGTTTTAGTATATATCTATTTAATATTTCTATATAGTTATTCATTTTTATTTTATTTTTAGTTATAAACTCAAGTTAAACTAAATGAAAATGAGAAATGCAGCCTTGGCAATTAGCTGAAATAAAATATGTTTAACTTTTTCTATTTTATTAAATAAAAAACATTATTTATTAGCTTATATTTTAGTTTTAGTTACTGTATTAATTAAATGAACCCTAATCAGAGGATATGATACATCTGCTATTATGAATAGTTTATTAACAATATCACAAATGCAAATGAAATTAAAAGGATATTCATCATTGAATTATTCTGCTCCACTTACCTGCTAAGTAAAGGATGTAAAAATGGCTGTTGACTGAATTTCTCAATCGCTGACAGGCACTTCAGTCCATGAGCCTTTCCCTATGGAGACTTTATAGACCTATACAGCATAAATATGAGGATAGACTCTGTAACTATGGTGTTTCGATGAAATATTTCGACCAGAAATTTACATTCTGTCAAAGTTAGTAGAAAATAAAGATTATTTATGTGCTACTCTTTGGTATATAGAAGAGCATATATTCATAATAGCTAAAGACTATATATTTATTAATAATAATAACATCAACAGCCAATATCCTTTCAAACAGCATTATCCAGCTATCAATAATGCTTGATTTTATGTTATTTTCAACAGAAAATCCAATCTTAATATTTCCCAAATGCTATGTGATCCAAATGATCGCTGATTTATTTATCACTATAGACATCAACCAATGCTGGCTGCAGACACCAAACACCTCTAAGGTAATGTACATGAGAGCATCATTTGATGACCATCACATAGACATGACATGATGAACTAGATCGCTTTATTTATATACAATAAACTGTCGCATCATGTCTGATCGTGCCCTGACTGTAATCTGACGCCTGCAAAAGCTGATATTGGTTTGGTGAATGGAGAGCCATCGCCTTAAAACAGGAGGATACTAATGCATGAGCATACACTGCGTCTTAGCTAAAGATTTAAGTTACATAGCATCGCTTCTTACGTCAGCTCAGCGACAAAATATCTGATTTATTGATGGATACTATACGTATATATTTATATTGTAATACCAACCTTTTGGAAGAATGGACAGGAGAGATGATGATGAGAGGCTTTTCCAGAAGCGGAAATTTCCGCTTCCGTTTACGGCTACCTGTCAAAAAACGAACGTAGCCTTCCTACTGAATATTCATGAGGTGGGGTTGGCGGTTTGCATTGCGTGAAAGCACGCTAGTAGTGATTATTGAGGAGTGGGCGTGGCTATGTGGTTTACATTGAAACCACAAGGGTAAACAAACACAGGATTTTTGTTGTTGTTGTTGCTGCATACAAATCTATTTGATAGAAAAAGACAATAAACCAAATAATATATGAATAATGAAGTAAAATGTTTGTTAAATGTGCCACGGTTTGGAATACGTGGAATACCAAAAGGATACGAACAGGCGATGAAAAAAAAACGCTAATCCCAACACCATGTTTGCGGTTGCACTGGGTTGCACTGAGCCCGGTTTTCACACTCTCCATGGGTTTCCATACCAATGAGTCGATCCATCCATTCTCAGATCTGATGTAGCGTGATGCGTCATTCTCAAGCTCGTGCCTGAGGCATCACTGACGTCACTGACGCTCCGATGCCTGTAGAAGCGGCTGGCCCGCAATAACAAATTGGATGAAGACAGAAATATTACTCGCATTCATTGAAACCAGTTCAAGATGGCGTCCGAGGGGGAATACGAGTCAATTCTGTGCGTAAAACCAGATGTCAGTGTTTACCGCATACCACCGAGGGCGTCGAATCGCGGATACAGGTGAATTAAAGGATGTGCGGGCCTGCGCCCATGGCAGGTGTTTGTAAAGTGAATGATGTTGTAATACGCAATACGTTTTTTTTCTCGTCTGTGTCAGCACTTCTATTACGAACAAGATTTTATAATAAACAATACTTGTATCGCATTGAATTATTATTCTGTGGACTGCTATGTCGCAGAGACATTGATCATTCAGTTCTGCTGATAGAGGGAAACATCTTGTGATGTCAGATGCTTGGTCTGTTTCATGACTAGCTCATGTATCTTAATATGAATTGGTCGAGGGTAAACAACTGAAAATGTCATTACAATTAAGAATTATTTACAGGAAATTTCCATGCCATAGAAGTAGAGCATCTGTCATTTGTATTATTATTTTTGTTGTAATAATATGGTATTGTATTGCGTTAATGTGAGGTGTGTTTTCTGCGTAGGCTATATGTGGTCCAGTTTATAGTATATAATTAGTCATAAAATAGCTCTTGCCCACAGATAATGTGATGCTTCAGTGACACACATTTCCTCCTCTGAAATACCAGTTGTATTCCCTCTGTAGGAGCCTATAGTCTTGTTGTAATAGTTCTGGAAATTGCAATAATACTTTGGGGATTTGCCATAAACTGAGGAAATGGGTTAAATGTCGTCTGTTCTCACTAAACTAAAAGCTTGAACCCAATGAGCTGCTATTTGTGTTAATCGCATGAAGCCTGTTATGTTTGGACCCAGAAAAATGAAGCCTGCAGTATTTTGGGACCATTACAGTCTCATGAAATTGAAGTAGCGAAATTATCTTTTTATTCCATATTGTGACGTACATCTGAGTATAAAGGATTATTGAAATTGTAACATCAATATCATATGTTAGATTACAACACCTAAAATTTTACAAAAATTTTAATTCTATTATTTACTCTCCTTTATGTCGTTCCAAACCGATAAGACTTAAACTTTGAAACACAATTTAAGATATTTATAAAGAAACCTGAGAGATTTCTGCCACTCTATGTCCCTCTTCAGGTAACCAAAACTTAGAAGATCCAAAAAAAGGCATAAAGGAATTGTAAAACAAATTAATATGAATCAAAGGATTTTGTCCAAGTTTTTTAAAGGGATGGAATATTTTTATATAATAATTAACCATTTTGAATTTGTCAATTTAACAATGATTAATACATATACATAGAGCACATGGCACACATGGAAGCTCAAACATGCGTGGGTGATGCTCGAGAACCAATGAGGTTTGTTTGAAATGGCTTGGGGATGAGTAAATGGTGCCAATTTTAATTTTTGGGTGAACTTAACTACCCCTGTTAAACTCCCCCTAAAGATAGAAAACCCATCTAGAGTATGAAAAATATACAATTAGATGGACCTGAAATGACATTTCTGCTGTTATAATGGCAGGGCGGCTGACTGGAAGCTGGACACCCCTGATTGGACAGGTCGTTTGCGCATAACAGCAAAGGGGAAGGTGGCTTATATCAAACTGGAGGACAAAGTCTCAGGTTAGAAATCTGCATACTGATGCAAAAGAAAAAAAATCGAAATTGCATGTCTGATTGGATGACTCTGAGACATTTGTTCAGCAAAAGAAGCTCCTAGATGTCCTTCTTTCATCATTGTCTTCAGGTGAGCTGTTTGCTCAAGCACCGATTACGGAATACCCTGGCATTGCCTTGGAGACCGTCAGCGATTCTAGTCGCTATTTTGTTCTCCGCATACAGGATGACAATGGTGAGTGTATCATCTTATTTTACATACCTTGCCATACTGGGAAATAGGTTCTACTTCACTTCTATACTACAGTTTAGATGGGCATTATCCATTCTGCCTGCATTTTAGGTCGGAGTGCGTTCATTGGCGTTGGATTCGGAGACAGAGGTGATTCTTTTGACTTCAATGTCGCCTTGCAGGATCATTTCAAGTGAGTTTCTATTAAAAATCATGTAGACATTATGACTGGAAACGTTTTTGTATTTGCACTGACACATTTGATGCTTGTTAATTACCTTTGGGCATAATAAGCAATTTTAGCAGATACCATTTTTGATTTTCTTATAAAATATATATCTTTTTTCTTCATTTTTCTTTCTTTAAGGTGGGTTAAACAGGAGGATGAACTTAGCAAAAGTTCTCAGTCTGCAGACTCAGGACCCAAACTGGATCTAGGCTTCAAAGAGGGACAGACCATCACACTGAATATCGGGGTAAAACAGCTGAAAACTGCTTTTTATGTATTTTTGTCAGATTTTGGCTTTAATAGTTCTAGTGTTGCATCACTACATGTTCAGAAGAATATACAGTGATTTTTCATGTCCACATATTGTAAATATACAGTTTGTGTTAAATTGGAGATATGATTCTTTGTATTTAGCAAGGGAAAAAGAGAGACAAACCCCGCCCTCAGAGCTCAGGAGGCTTTGGGCTCCTCCCTCCACCTCCAGGGGGAAAGATAGCACCTCCTCCTTCCAATCACAACACAGAACAGCCATCAGGAGGAGCACAGACAGGTACATCATTTGACCTCATTACTACCTATACATGAACTAATTTATGCATCCTCTTTTCGTTGATGCCATGGAAATGTAATATATTAATTTAAAAGTAAAGTTCTGACACATAAAGTAGAATATTTCTTAAAAAAACTTATTTAGAGGACAAATGTAAACACAGAACTCTTTTGATTTACATAATCATAAGTGTTGTAACCATATATTAATTCTGTAAATGTAAAATATAAATTCTGAGCCTCACAATTAATTTTTTATGAATATCTCACCAACTCTAAAGGCATGCACATCATGCAGACAAACACACAAATACATTTTACAGATATCTTGAAAACGTTTTTTTCTTGATCTCGTGTTCTTTCCCTACTCTTAGGATGTTTATTAGAACTGGACAGCAGTAACTCTAATACAGTGGTTCAGTCAAACCCCAGCTCTGACTTATGGGGAGATTTCTCCAGCTCTGCAAGGTAACATGATTCTTGACATTGAATAAGTTCCTGTACTCCGATATTACTACTAATCATTAAGGGCCAGATTTACTCACCGGCATTAAAAAAAAACGCCTGTCAGGATTTACTAAAGACATACAGTGAAAAAATGTAAGTTGAAAAAATGTGGATGCATCTTTCCTGTAGCTCAAACAGTAGAGCGTTGGCACTTGCAACGTCAAGGTCATGGGTTCGATTAAACAGTTGAGTTTTACCGGTTTTGAATGAATTCAGCCGATTTTCTGTTATTTACAAGAACGTTAGTTAACAGACACTTTCTGGTCTCATTGACTTCCATAGTATATTTTTTTCCTACTATGGAAGTTAATGAGACCAGAAACTGTCTGGTTACTGATATTCTTCTAAATATCAGAAAATCGGCTAAATGGATTCGAAAACGGTAAAACTCAACTGTTTAGCTCTGCGGGAGTTGTAAAATGAGCCTATTTCCAAAAAAAGTGGAGTATCCCTTTAAAGGTGGCTCATCCGATTGGTTAGTGAACGACACATCACTACTGTTTCCGGTGATAGGGTTTTATTTACTGTTGGTTACTAGGTTACCAATACCACCGTCTTCGACTGATGGATCGAACAACTTGATGGAACCACACCTAATTTGCATTTGTTGTTTTGCTTGTTTTTTGCAAACTTTTGAAAAGATTTTCTTCACGTTTGGATGGAAACCCACCTATTATCACAGCTGTAAACACAATGGTTTTCTTTTTCCATGAGGGGGTTTGGCTTTGTTTCTAGGCGTACTGTTAAAAACAAGATCTCCCAAAAATCCTGGAGAATTGAGGATGACTTCTAAACTCCCGAAGTGTTTCCCAATTTGTGTGCCTTATGCATCAGACGTTCAGCCAATGCTACGCTAATTTGCGCTGCTCTTGGTAGATTGCTAATGTCTCGTCTGTGCATTCATGAGATTAATCTTATTCTAATTGCTGTTTAGTAAATCTGGCCCTAAATATTCTAAAACCGTTCTTAAACCACTACATGTGTTAGTGTGCAAAAGTATGTAAAAGCTGGAATAATCTCTTTCTTTCTTTTCTTTTCTTTCAGCTCTGTTCCTCCTCCAGCATCACGCCAAGACCCCTCTTCTGGGAACTGGGTCCAGTTCTGAAAAAGTTTCATCATCTTTCATTCCATTATTGTTCCCATTCCTTCATCAGAACTACTGCAATTAAAATATACTGGATAATAGTATGGAACATTAGTGGCAAGCTGTATTTAAAGCTGCTAATCTTAGGAGAGCACAGAGGTGAGAAATAGGCTATTTTGCGAATTATGTTGGTCTTATAAAACAAATTAGCCGATTGAAATGATGAAAAGGTTTGTATAAAAAGAGGTACATCCCATGGGCGTACTATGTGAAACTTTATGGTAATGTTATTTTGAAGACTATTTCAGTATCTTTACATTTGTCCACAAAGTGTTGGATGTGTCCACTTTGTTGTCATAACTTGTATGTGTTTGTCTTTGGTTTTGGAGGAGTGAATATGTGTGTGAGTGTTTAAAAAGGAAGAGATTGATTGAAAGTGTAGAATTTAAATGAGGCCTGGATATGTCAAGAGCTTAACATCCTATGTGTCATAAGAATATATAAAATCTGTACAGTATAAATCTACATAAATATTGGTTGAAGGCCACAATGTAGAAAAATTATGTCCCTCAAATACAGGGATTATGTCTAGATATCCATTACATATCCATATTGTCATTTACTTGAGTAACAGATCGTCATTTACGTGTTAAACAAAAATAAAATATACAAAAGAAATATAATACACATTGCTTTACATGTGATTTTTTTTATAATCCCTGTGGAATATGATTCTCTACCCTAGCTTATAGCGTGGAAACAAATACAAGCATATGACTGTTTAGGTCCAATGTTATTTGATTAGGATTTGCTAATTCAATATGCATATAATTTCAAATTTTCAAGGCCCTCTGCTCCATGTAAAACATACAGGCGTTGCCATCTTTGGAAAACAGTCATGACAAGTCAAACCACGAACGACGTACTGAGTGAGCTGAGCTTTATGAACGGCGTTCGGGGATCGACTTATCGAGACTATTTTCTAAGATGGCTCCTGTCTGTATACACGAAGTGAATCGTCTTTATAAAGTATTTTCTTATTAAACGGTCTGTACACTTACAAAGTTCTCAATGCTTCGTTTTGCATGCATGGACACTCATTATGTTACTGTGTTAGTGTGGGGCTATTTTGAGCCGTGTTAGTGGTATAAACTAGCGATTTCTTTTTATTTAGTAAATGCCCCCAGTACTAGCATTATACGCTAAACAGTTTTTAGAGATAAAACTCTTTACATTCAATTATCATGAAAACAAATCTCAGAGAACGGATGACTAGGTACCGATGTTTTATTAGACCAAAGGTTCATTTTGCACCGGAGTTCTCCTTTAAAGTAAATATTTCTCATGTTTCATCTAAATATTTCTTCAAATGCTTTTAGCATGGGATTGTGCGCTAGTCCAGGTGAGTTGAACTCTCTTAGCTTTTGTGTTAACCTAAATAGAATGTAAATCGTATGTATCATTTTTAATCGAAAATGTCTTTTTGTTTACTCAGCGAATGTCACTGAAACGTGAAAGCTACTGAATTTGGGAAGTGAACAAAATCACTATAATTACAGATGGTTAATCTATCTCACATCTTTTACCCCTTTTCCACCAAAAAGAGAACTGGTTCAGAACTGGTGCTGGTTAGAAGTTGGTTCAACTTGCGAACCGCTTCAGAACCTGTTGGTTTTTCCACTGACTAGAGCGCCCAAGGAACGACATCGTTACGTCACTGTGTACGTAGTTAGAAACGCTTGCAAATACAACATTACTTTCGGATTATCTCTTACTCGTGTATCAAGAAAGCTTTAAAAAATTTGAAATGTAAGTCTTTTAATCTTTTCGTTTGATATGTAATCTTTTCTGATAAGTTATGTACCCGTCTTTTGTCTTTTTTTCTTTCCATTTATTTGTTGTATATTGTGACTGTTTTCTTCTTTACTTATAATGTCTTAAATAAAAAAATTACAAAAATAGAAACGCTTGCGTTAACTTCATCTTCAACTTCATTAACTCCATCGTGTTTCTGCAAATGTTTTTCCTGGCTTTGCGATCCTTTATTATGGTCAGAAAAGATATTTAGAACAGATCTAAACCCGTCCCAGCCCCGACGTAAGCATGACGTGGTAAAAGAACGGTTCTAGTCCAGCAAAGAGTTGGTGCCGCTTTGGAACCAGTTCTCCTGGCCGAGAACCGGTTCTTTGGCTGTTGAAACACAAAGAACTGGTTCGCGCGCAGGCACTGGCTCCGAAAAAATGCTTTGGTGGAAAAGGGGCGTTTGTGAGCTTTGTGCCTAGCAGTTTCTACTGGAAAATCCAGTTTAAGATGGTAAATGTTGTGGACCATAGTTTTGCCATAAGTCATGTGCAAGACCAGCTTGGACCAGCAATAAATCATCTCCTATGTGAAGTTTATTTTTTTTTCATTCTTATTCTTCTTTTCTTGGATCAGCTAGAAATCAGCTAAGCTGTATTTTCCAGCTGATGACCTTAGGGCACATAATAGTCTGTTTCCATCACCTATCTCAGACAACATCTTGTACGCTTCCTTTTTGCAGACTTTTCCAAGCTCAGCTGCTTCGATTATTGAGAAAGATCTACCATCACACTCACAGCCTGTCCTTCTCAGTTTGACCACCAAAGGTCTCTGTCACCCCATTTTCATGATACATGCACACCTGCTCCTTGTCTATTGTAAGTAACGACCGCTGAAATACTCTTTGTAGTTCCCTTAATCTTTGTTATAGCTTGTTTGTTCACAGAATCATTCTGATTGGCTTAGTTTTTCATACTTACAAAGGTTTGCTTTGTACCCAATGACTCCTGTCATTGTGGATTTACCTTGTTTACATAATTAATTGGACTGCTTTTGAACTTTCGACTGGGACATCTATTATTGGATTTGGACTTGTGAGTTTTTTAACCTTGTAATTGAATCATGCTTCAGCTGTTGATTGTCTTGCAGCCAAAGACTGGCTGCCCACTGAAGCTAAGCAGGGTCGAGCCTGATCAGTACCTGGATGGGAGACCTCCTGGGAAAACCAGGTTGCTGCTGGAAGGTGTTAGTGAGGCCAGCAGGGGGCGCTCACCCTGTGCTCTGTGTGGGTGCCACTATAGTGATGGGGAGACTATACTGTCAAAAACTGACTCTGTGGTCACAAAAAAATCCCAGGATGTCTTTCGAAAGAGTACAGGTGTAACATCAGGCCTCTGCCCATCATGGCTTCCTTATAATCATGTGGCTTCATAACTCTGTCTCCTCTCCACCAGTAAGCTGGTGTGGGCGTTCTGGCGCAATATGTCTGCCGTCGCGTCATCCATGGTGGATGCTGCACATTGTGGAGATTCCCCTTCTACGTAAAGCGATTTGAGTGCAGAGAAAAGCGCTATATAAATGTAATGAATTATTATTGTTGTACACAATTTATGAGTGAAACCGAGAACTGAGACAATTAGGGGCCATTTACATGACACCGTTTCAACTAAAAAGGAAAGCTTTTTATGCATTTTGGCCATTTGGCGTTTTTGGGCCTGAAAATGTTAACTTTTGAAAATTTCAAAGTGCATAATTTTGAAAGCGATAACATTACTGTTTCCATGTAAACTACAAAAACACAATTTTGTGAAATTGGTAATGTCTTGCAAATGCCTATTATGTGTTTAGTTTATAGACCTTATGCACCAGAGAAACAAGAGCGCCGCCATCTTTAGAATATTGTCTTTGAACTTCCGTTTTTGCGATTGCTCTGTATATCTCTATGGCATTGCTGTCCAGGAGTAATTAGCTTTTGAAGTGGATTTACTTAATGTAATGTTAACGAAAGTTGTCATGAGGATTGTAATGTTTAAAGCAGATGTCTTAACAAATGTCATTCATTAATAAATACACCAGATCACTATGAAAATACAGACCGGAAGACAAATGACAACGCGCATTTCTTTATTTGCATCTCAATCATTGATTGGCATTTGTTGGGAATATGAATACATTTGATTATTGATATTTGATTATTATTTTTTACAGAAAACTATTTAATAATGCCCTACCTTTTTCCTAGCAGCGGCCCTACTCCTTTTTCTTTTTCTGTATATTTTCTTAATGTCTATAAAACTGACCAGGAAAACATTAAATATGTAGACTGTTTTTAATTTATAAGTGGATAATGACTAATATTTTGGTGTGTTTTCATACAAAACTATTGTAAAGTTTTAAAACACTTGGAACACATTGCATGATTTATCTTTATTACTTTTCTGAAACATTTCTATGTTTTGAGCTTAACCTGTGTTGTCTCATCAAATTTTAATGTTTGGGCGTTCAACTCTTTTCACTTTTTTTTTACTATAAAAGACTGGCCTGTACATCATACATTCTCTTTTTGTGTTCCACAGAAGAAAAAAGAAGTTGAGTAAATTATTACAGAATTTTCATTCATAAGGAGGGACACTATTTCTGTAACCTTTTAATGTTTTAATACTACATTTTGGATCAAAATGGTCAAGGCTTCATTGTGAATGCGCAGAAGTACAAACCAAGCAATGGACAAGCGGTCTCTCATCGTGGTAGCGGCTGGTTGGGATACAGTGTTAAGATCTGTTATGAAACGTTGCGGGGAAAGGTTCTTGGCTAATAAATAGGGTGCATATTTGGGGATCAGCTGTTCACTCGTTGATGCGAGCTTGAATCGGCCCTCATTTAGAAGTCTGAAAGTGTGAGTAACGTGAGAACATTCATTACCACTGTATCAAAATATCTAAATTGTGATTGTGAACATGATCTCTCCCACTCTCTCTCACAAACACACACTTGATCTGCCAGTTCTGTTATGTGAATTAAAGGTGCTTCAGGATTAAAGTTGACAGAGAGAGCTTCACCTTTGAATGATTTTGCACATTCAGATTTGCTGGTGTGTCTTTGGAGGCCTGGTACACGATACGATAGAGCTCCCTTCCTCAATATCTGATCAAACACATAGTGGATCTAGCTCATGTAAAGAACTTGGAGTATACAGTACTAGTTCTGCCATATAGTATCTTTAAATAGCAAAAATAGTGAGAGATGTATGCTATATATAAATGTACCCATTTTCTCATTTCACGGAATGTGATTAAATATTTTAAACTACTTTATTCATCCTCAAAAGGAAATTATGGAATTTTCACGATTAAGACTAAAACATACATTTTTACATACATGCACACAACATTTTTCCACATTATCTAATTTCTAAGTACACTCATATTAATCATGGCATAGTGTTACATGTTCCCTGTATGCTTGGCCTTTTATGTTGTATTTCTCCTGCTTCCTGAGTGTAGGTTTGTAGTCCTCTTGGTTCCCGTCATTGTTTTATCTGTGTCTAGTTATATCTTAACCCCTGTGTACTGTATATAAGCATTGTGTTCCCCGCCTTCCTTTTCCCTCGGTGTATAGTTTACGTTTTTAAATCAGATTTTTTTTATTTAAATAGTGAAATTTTAGAATTGTCATAAATCTGTTAATTGTGAAAATTATTAGATGTAATCATTAATTAATTAGTTCAAATATAAGAATAAAATAAATTGAATTTATCAATATATAAACCTGGTTTATGTGTATATAAAACACATGTGTATATAAACACCACATTGTTTATTAGTTTAAAATTTTGTAATCCAAATCAATGGAAATTTTACATGCAATTAATATAAATAAATATATTATTTCTTCTAACTCTTCTCATTAAATGTGTTGTCTCATCTAATTTTAATGTTTGGGTGACAAGTATCAGAAGGGCGATAAGTATAAGAAGAAGGATAGGATATTCCACAACACGGGGTTAGGCTTTTAGACATTAGACATTTTCTGAGCGAAGAAAATTTACTAATAAAATATTGGCATCCTCATGCTATACCTGCATAAAATATTGTAAACAACTATTTTTCTCATGGCCTTTTACATGCCAATTAGCATGCAAGATGACACTAGAGTAATTCCTCACATAAATGTGTTTGAATGTAGTATATCAAATGAAAGGTCATACAGACAGCCAGGGCCGTACTGGGACTGAAATTCAGCCCGGGACTTTAAGATGGAGAGGCCTTTTACGCGAGTACCCTTGGTGCACGAGCAGAAGGATTTTTGCAGTTATTTTAATTCTAAAAGTGTTTTTATGGTATAAAGAGAATCAGATTATGCTGAAAACCTTCAAGAAATTTTAGGATGACACCTGCCTCCTCAGGTTGTATAAGCAAGTCACCACTGCACTGAACACAACCAGGTCAGCAAAACCTAATCTCGAACATAAGTCACAGTATACTGCTAACTAGCATGTCATGTGCACAGTCAGTTGGAGTGATAAAATAGTTACAAATAATCCTATACTCAAAAACTACAATGCAGTCCCATAAAATAGAGATTTGTGTGTGTGTGTGTGTGTCCTTACTTTCTCAGCGTGGCTCCCTGGCTTAGCTTCCCCTGTGATGGACCCTGCCTCTGCTTACTGATGTGCACCTACATATGCATGAGAAGAACTTCAGTTTTAAATATGACTAAGAATAAAACATTTTCTAATTCAATCTGTGCTTCAGTCAGGTTATTATCTAGTATGTGGAATTATTGGCATTTTAACCTATATGTAAATATCTGATTGATTTATTTTCCTAATATGATTGCCTACCCAGCCCTGCACACTGCCCCTCTACCTGTCACTGTTTTTATACTGGTTCCATTCTTCTCCTCCTGCTCGTCTTTCTCTTGCTGCTCTCCTTCCTCCTGCTCCTCCTCCTTCTCTCCCTCATCATCAATATGACTGCAGGGGTCATCCTCAACCTGTCCTTCTCCATCACTGACCTTAACAGCTAATATACATACAGAGATTACTTGCTTACAAGGATGTTGTCTGTGTGTGATGACACAGTGCAAACTGCTCTTTATAATATATAATATATCTCTAAACATGTGAGGGATACATGGCTATAACATGATAACAGCACATTTTTATTACATGGCTAATAAATCAATAATTTGACACAATTATACATACAGCTAAAATATGTATGTACAATTATACATACAGCTAATATACATACATTACTTGCTTATAGAAGGATGTTGTCTGTGTGATGACACACTCAACTGCTGTTTATATATATATATATATATATATATATATAAAATGTAAGGGACACATGGCTATAACATGATAACAGCACATTTTTATTTCATGGCTATCTACCAAATAAATCAATAATTTGACACACAATATTGATTTGACACACAATATTGATTTAAAAATGAGTTTACTGTTTTAAAAACTATTGTATTGCTTCCGCTAAACGCGCGGCCTGTTATCAAGCAATAACAGACCTCATTCGTGGCATGAAACTGCTAATACAATCGTTTTTATAGCAAATACAACCGCCTCGCTCTACATTATCCCTTATATAATATATATGCCTATATTTAAATGCAAATATAAATAATTTCAGTGTATAAACGCATCACTAATTGTGCACCTGTCCTGCTGCTGGGTCCTCCTTCCTCATCTGTAACGTTACCTTCTGCCACAGCAGCACCCTTTTCCCGAAAAAGGTCTGTTAATTTGGCGCATTTAGCTGCCTCTCGTGCCAACGTTTTTTTCTTTTTCATTCTTATTTTTTCGGCCCCACCCATTTCTTTCTCTTCTTTCCTTCCTTCTTTTCAGCATTTTTAAATGTCCGTCTCTGTTGCAACTTGCATTCATACAAATCTCCAAACTTCTTTTTTCGGCGCCTTAAGTTTGAGCCAATCGGATGTCAGGAAAAACGAGGATCAGTCCAAGTTAGGAGGGGCCGCTCGTATCCCCCCTCAAGATTGAAGGTATTGGTTTGGCCTAGTCTGAAACATACACACACACAGTTCCGCTGCAGCTGAGCGGCCGCCGCGCCGGTCGTTTATCATAAAACGTATCATCCAAAAAAATATATATATCATTGACCACCGGCCGGTTCGGCCCGAAATGGACCGGCCGTTCGGGATTGTTCCCGGTATTCCCGATTGCCAATCTGCCCCTGCAGACAGCGACTGGAATAGTTAGTACTAGAGCTGTTAAATGATCTTCATGGTCCTCTTCCCTTCATGTAATGAGCTATTTCAGCTGTTAATCTCTTAACAAGGTGACTAAATAACTTCAGATTGAAAGGGCACAATCTGTAAACATTTGATGTCTTAATTTAGTGGCCTAGATTGTATTCATTTAGTATAGATGCATACATTTTTTAATGTGATTGTGAACAGTCAGGTTGTGTTCATTTGTTTGCAGCTGTATATTATTATTATTATTATTATTATTATTATTTGATGGTCTGGTTGTAAATAAATCTACCAGAATTTCTTCTGGAAATGTTTTTGACTCCATTTTGCAAATATGGAAGTCATATTTCCTCTGGAATGTGCAATGTTATCTTTTCATGGATCTGTTGAAAGAGTTTGACCTCAAGCCATTGCCAAAGACTTATCTATTACATGTAACATCAACCCGGTGTGTGTGTGTGGCGTGAATGGATGGAGGGACAGGTTTGAACGCAGAAGTGTGAGACAGAAGATTCGGTGTGTTTGTACATGCATGTGTATGTGGTTTCAAGTGTGTGCGTGTCTGACAGAGGTGATGATGGCTAAAAGAGTTTTATTAGCCCGGAGGTTTATTTTTAAATCTAGGACACATAGTGTCTGAGTGCTTATATGTGTCTGAATGTTATCTGCTGAAATTTAAGAGATACGGTATGCTCCTTACTCTCACAACATAGATAAAGATGACATAATGAGCATAGTTTGTTAATATGCTTTTAAGACTGGAGTAAACATTTCAATCTTTATGATTTTAAGAGTTACAAATACAGTTTATTATGTTGGTAATAATACATTTCCAGATTTTTTTTTATTGTAGATCAAAGCAAACCATTATTTAATAGCTTTATTTGAATTAATTGGACATTTATAATACGTTCCCATCAATTCCATCATGAATCCCAGTCTAGGACATCAAGATCCTCCAGTTTGGAAATCATGTTATTTATGTACAGTAGACATCATAATACTCCTCTATCGTCCTTTAAAGTTACCATGAAATTGAAGTTGACGATTAAAGGTTTCAATGGAATATTGCATTGTTTCTTAATATAAATGATTTATTTGTGCATATTTTTTTTTCAAAAAAACTCTTGTCAAACATTAACTTATAATCCCTGCTCTACAGCATCATGTCACGTTCATACAGTATGTCTTAATAGAGATAAGATGTTTGAAATTATTTTTTTGTTTCATAGACAGTATGAGGAAAAGACTGACCAAGTCAAAGTAACTACCAATTTCAGTATGATTGCTCCGCAAAAGCAAATTTTCAAGATAGTTTATCTGATTTTTTTTTTTTTATAGACTCAACCCTAATGACTCTTCTGGGGTATTCTAACAGCACCACTGTTTACAGTTAAGATCTGTAATGGTCAGTTAGGAAGATAAACCCCCAACTAATTATAACTGTCTGTTACCATCAGAACTTAAAAAGTGATTGCCAAGAGTGAATAGTCCAGATGACGACAAACTCAGTCCTGTCCATCCTTTGCATCATCATCTGACATCCTTTTCCAACAGCCAGGCTCCTCCTAGGTACCTTCCCACTTCGTCTGGCCTGCCTCGAAGCCTGGGTTGTGGATAGAGTAGGGACTTAAGAAGACATGTCGAAAGAGGGGTGAATGCTGCAAACTGGGTGGCCACCTGGTGGAAGTCCTCAGTTTGATCCGACCCTCTCTCTTGTAATGCTGAACCTTCCCAATTGCTCCACTGTATATAGCTTTTATATGCTGTGTTGTCTGAAACAGTCTCAGACCACGGAAGGCTCCCCATAAGCATGGCGTAGATTAGAATGCCTAATGCCCAGCTGTCTGTACTGGGATCCACATTTACCAACATTCTTTGAGTCTTTCCAGAGTCCCCCTTCGGCTTGTTCCCATTGTCCTCCCCCTTCCTTGCAATCTCAGCCTCAGGAGTGCAGTAAGGAGAACTGTACCACACACATGGTACCCTGGTCCCTGCAGCCTTAACCATGCCAAAATCACCAAGCTTGACCCAACGGCCGACACTGTCACATAGGAAGATGTTTTCCGGTTTGACATCACGATGGACAAAGCCAAGGGAATGAAGGTGAGAGAGGGCACCGCTGATCTGGGAAGCCACTCCCTGGACGTGGCTCTCTTTCAGACCAACCTGCATGAAATAAAGTTACCACTTAAGCCAGGGGTGTTCAATACCTTTCTTTTGAGGGTCAATGTCCTGCTTCAACCTGCCCCAACAAACTTACCTGGAAGATTCTAGTAACATTAAAGCAGGGTTGGGCAACTCTAGTCCTCTAGTTTATCTCCATCCATGGTCAAACTCACCGCCCTTTCCAATCCAGTCCTTGATTAGTGTGTTTGATTAAGGTTGGAGCTAAACTTTACAGGAAAGTGGTTCTCAGGGCCAGAGTTGCTTACCCCTGCCCTAAAACTTTGATTAACTTGTTCATGTGTCCTTTATTGGAGATTGGAGCCAACTGTGCGGGATAGTGGCCCTCCAGGAGATGGGACATGACTAATCATACTTTTAACATACTTTTACTGTGCCTGGTATTTACAATACATTTTTATGTTTTTTTTCTTTGGTCACTCTATCTAAACCAGTGGTTTTAGATGGCTTCTTAATCTAACACAAATTTTATGTCTTGGTGTCTCTACTTACAGTATGTGCTGATGAGTTGAATTGGGTGTGTTTGATAGGGAGACATCCAAAATTTACAGGCTTGGAAACCACCGATTCAAACCTTAGGTGTATAATCCGGCTTCTGGAGGGCCAATATTCTGCAGAGTTTGGATGCAATTATAATCGAACACTGAACCAGCTAATGGCGCTTTTCCATTACCAGTACCAGCTCTACTTAACTCGGCTCGCCTCGGCTCGGTTCGACTCAGCTTGCTTTTCATTCCGTTTTCCATTGCAGACAGTACCGCTACAAATAGTACCTGGTCGTCATAGCGACGCCTTTCCTTCCTCGTTGCCCTATCAATCTGTCGCAGGATACTCTCTTCGGCCACCAAACAAAGGAAAGTCTGCACCTACTCATTTGACCACAGCGTATTCTTTCGAGTTGCCATAATATTAGTAGTTAGTTTAGTAACTATCTCTGGCCAAACTATTTTAAAATAGCAGGGTTATTCTGGATACTCCATCTGGCGTGTGTAATTATGACGCAGTGAATGGTGACGATTCTCTCTGACCAATCAGCACATTTGACATTTTAGTATCGCCTTAGGTGGTACAAAAAAAGTACCCGAAACGAGGAACAGGTACAACTTTTACACAGTGGAAAACCAAACAAAGGCGAGCCAAGCCGAGTCGAGAAGAGCTGGTACTGTCGCTGTGTAGTGGAAAAGCGCCATAAAGGTCTTCAGTATTACTTGAAACATCCAGAAAAGTGATCTGGGGCCAGTTAGAACTAATCTCTGCAGAACATAGGCTCTCCTAGGCTAGATCCTTTGGAATTGCTTGGAAGTTTCTGAGATTTCTAAAGACCTTGATTAGCTCGTTCAGGTTAGTTTGATCAGTGTTGGAGTTAAACACTGCAGGACGGCTGCTTTCCATGAGCTGGATTATACAACCCTGATCTAAACATTTTGTGTGAATTACAACTCAAGAGGTACCTTTTTGAGGGTCTCGACTGGACTAGTCAGCTGTGCTGTGGCATGCAAATAGATGTTTAATTCTTGCATGCATCATTAATCATATACATTCATCATTAAGACGTGTGTAACTGATTTCAAGCTTTTACCAACCTCGGGAACGATGACATCATAGAGGTCTCCGTAGAGGCAAGGTTGCTGGGCGAACACATAGTGAGTAGGAGTGGAGAAAGCAATGCCCAAAGCTGAGGTAAGTGAGGGGTGGGTGCAAAAAGCCAAGGACAGATTATATTCCCTCAGAAATGACAGGAGAGATGTGGATTCTCGCAGAAAGAATTTCAGGGCCATTGGGGTTCCTAGAATACATGCAAATTGAGATCTTGTCAAAGGTAGAGGAAGGAAGCAGCACATTTGTAATGTGGATAAGATCAGATCACAAACAACATATAATAGGGTTGTCATCACTTACCTCTCTTCTTGTGCACTGCTAACACAACTTTGCCATATGAACCCTCTCCAAGAAGTTTAATAACTTGGAAGTGATCCGAGGGCTCCAGTGATTCTAGAGACTGAACTGTTAAGTGACACAGCTCATCCAAAAGTCTCGTGGCAGTCTGCAAGAAGCAAAACTAGATGCTCACGGTTGCCGATCGACATGACAAAAAATGTAACATCTAATGTAATTTGAGAGGGAATTTGCATGACTCATTTTCCATCTTCCATTTAAAAGTCTTATTTAATGGCCACGGCATAGTTGCCATTTTGTAGCATGTCAAACAATGTTTCACTAGCTGTCTACAAGGGGACCAAATACCACAAAAAGCCATGTGGAAAGTAAATATGATCTAGCTGGATCAGAGATATACTCCCGGGGTCTGTCATTGCATGCTATTATAAGATCACTACAGCGAAAGGGTGATTTGAGGTTCACTTCTGAGGATTGTTTATTCTGTCAACACATCTTAACTGTCCTTAAACGCCCGTGGTATCAGCTGAGTTTCATAGGATTAAATGTTCTGTTCAGCAATAGTATTGATTACCGATCAAATGTCATACATTGACATACAATTTGAACTGGATGTTTTTAGTCTGTGAATGCTTTTACACTCTTTAGTAAAGCAGCAGGTCAGGATAATGAAGAAGAGGGACAGTGTTGCATAATGGGTAAAAGGTGCACCTGTTGGGCTTGAGTTGTGTGAGGACAGAGAGCTCACCAAACGTCCTCTTTGGTTTACCCCTTGTCAAGAACAGCAGAATGGGCAGCACATCTAAGTTCTTTAGGATTAGTTGTGAATGTTGTAAATTGTTGAATTATATAAGGTACCATTCTGGTATGTTGTGATATGTAGCCAGTAATCAGTTTACAATTCAAGACTGAACTTTATAATAAATAAAGATGTCTGTAAATATAACTGCAAGCTCTTTTTACCTAAAACAAGAAAAGTAAAAAGGTCATTGCTACTTTAAATTTCACAAATGTGCTTTAATGTCTTTAATGTATATAATTGCAACCGTTTCTCTAATTGTGACTCTTAGTTGTGACATTATTGCTCACATTGCAGAACATAATTTTTTTTTTGTACTCTTTAAAGGAGTAGTTCACTTTTAAAAAAACTTTTGCTGATCGTTCACTTACCACATGTCATCCAAGATATCCATGTCATTCTTTCTTCAGTCGAAAAGAAATCAAGGTTTTTGATGAAAACATTCCAGGATTTTTCTCCATATAATGGACGTCAATGGGAACCAAACGGTTCAAGGTCCAAAAGACGCTTTCAGTACAAACTGCAAACTGTTCAAAGGGCTTTAAATTATTTCAGATGATGAATAAGGGTCTTATCAAGCGAAATGATCGCTCGTTTACATTGACCTTGAACCATTTGGTTCCCATTGAAGTCCATTATATAGAGAAAAATCCTGGAATGTTTTCATCAAAAACCTTAATTTCTTTTCGACTGAAGAAAGAATGACATGGACGTCTTGGATGATATGGGGGTGAGTAAATTATCAGCAATTTTTTTTTAAAGTGAACTACCCCTTTAAAGGATGAACATCAAGACTAAATTACATATTAAAATTAGTTCTGTTAAATCCACATTAAATCCAAATCTTTTATGTTTATATATATATATATATATATATATATATATATATATATAGGTATATATATATGTATGTTTGTGTGTATGCACATGTAAACACGTCTGAAAACATATATATAGATATGTATGTTTACACACACGCATATATACATATATATACACACACACACACACACACACACACATATATTATCAACTTATGTTAGATGTGTTTATTAATTAATAAAATATTAAATATGAAGATATTTAATATTAAATGATTAATAAAATACAAAACACTTTAAATTGTAAAAATGTTACAGAGACATGGTAAGAGACTTCCCTTACTGACCCTATACTTTTGAATATTAGTTTGTACTGTATATATAAGCCTATGTAAATTATGGAGCATGGCTAAAATTCTAAACCAATTTCTTATTTTAAATGACTGTACATCACACGCTATTTGAAAATCTTTTAAAAATATGTGCTTGGGCAATAATCATTGCTACTGTACATAATTATAAGCTTATGCAACAGCTGAACGCACATTTCATAAGGATTAAAAAGACTTACTGTCATGTTTGCTGTTGTTGAAGACTGAAAGGGAATTTCGAGGTGCTGTTCTCTATTGATCAGCCTGTCCATAAACTTTGCAGGTCAAATGAACAACCAGTCGTATATCAACTTAGAGGTTGAGTACTTATTCTGGTTGATAATGGGTCCTCTGCTTACAGTTCAATAGTCTATCTGTACTCTCCTTCTCCCACCCTCTCTATCTCTATCTACCCAAGTTCTTTCACATGTGCTCTTGCTGCTGTTACCCCTCCTTTTGGATGTTACACAGTTATTCACTGTCAGTATGTACTTTTGGGTTCGTATAACTGTCAGCACTGGCAAAATCCCTAACCTTTTAGTGTTTTCTCAGATGTCTCATATAGGGCTCGCAATGTAATGTTTAATTTAGTGCGATCATTAACCGAAATTGGTTATGATGCTGGCAAGCATGATCAATTTTTCTCTCGGGGAGCATGATAAATCTAACAGCTGTGAGAGAGCGCAACGCAAACCGCTTGCATCGCAGATGTCTCTTTCTGGCGGACGTGCCAAGTCCTGACTTTTCAGGGTTTTAAACTCACACACAGTCATGCGACATATCCATATCCTATTCCTTGTTCTGCACCGTTTGGTAGCCTATTAGTCATCATGATAAAGATTTTGACATTCATGGTTGATTACACTATTGCTGGCAATTTTTAATCTGTCTATGTTGAGCTCAACTGTGAAAATGCTCTGCTAGACAGGGTAGGGAAATTATTAATAAACCTATGACGACGCACAAGTTTTATTTAAGGAACAAACATGAAAATCCAAATAAATAGAATATAATTCGGAAGTAATGCGATGTTTAGATTGTGTTGAAGGTTCAGCTGTTGCTGAAGCAGTTCAACAAGTTAGGCTAAAAAAAAAAAACTCTGCATGTTTGAAGCAAAATCATTTTATTGAAATAAAAAATGACAATTAAATAATCGAATAAAACGTATAAATACAAAAAATAAATAAATACACAGATATGTAAAAAAAAAATATGAAAAATAAAAAATAACATCCGGGACTCTCCCATACATCCATCGGATTGAGCTCGCAAAGTCAAATCAAAATGTGAATTTGATTTCTGAATGATGACCAGATATGAATACAGTTTCTGTGTCATGTAAACACTGTATATTTGTCCTCCTCTCTAGTCTGTTGATATTAAAAAGGCTTTGGCATTGTTCAAGATTCTGTTATCGTCTCATTTCAGTTCATCTCTGCTATAGGTTGGCACTTAAGTTACATTTCATTTAGACTGTATTTTCAATGTTCACAATAAAAAAATGGAAGTTGTTTTGTATTTAATTCCCAGTTTTATGGTGATTTTACCAAACTTCTGGTCAACATTCCTGTCAAACACAGTCTTACCGTAACCTTAAAAGATAGGTAGGCTATGTTGTTTAACAAGTATGTTGATTCACTACATCTTCGCAAAATTACTAACTTTCAACAGAAATAATTAAAGGAGTGCAGGTCCTAAACTGCATTTAATAATACTTCACAGTTGTACCACAGTAACGACACCTATTAGTCAATATTACACCTGATAGCGACACCTATTGGTCATTATTAGCAACTGCCTGCAGCTGATTTTGCATACAAATTTCATCATTAAAATGAGACACTTAATATATTTAAAGTGCTATTTTTTTTCTCGATGTATAAAAAATCCTTCATTGTAAACAAAAAACTCAATTCAATAAATATTAAATACATAACTTATTAATAATATTATAACATCACACAAAGGAACCGTTAACTGATGGAAGATGACTTCTAAAGGCTGGGCCGTTCATTCCATCCCTTCAAACATTAAGGCAAGCCAGACGATGCTAGCACGATGCCTGTTGACCTCATCTTGCGTTTACTTGCATCATGGAGATAAGCTGATGGCTACTGGTGTCAAATGATGTTGTGTGATCACTATTGTTTCGGTTTCAGGCCTAGCAGTGCTCTAATGTACCAGTGGCAAAAGTAGTACAGTTTGTCTTTGATCTCCAGATTGGCCTGTTTCAAGTTCCAGGCTGTTTTCAGTTGAGGCAGGGAAGGGTGGACGAGCTCAGAAATTGGCGTCTCAATCTGTAGAAAGGTTTAGAAGATATGTTTAACCACCTCCTATTTTCACTTCTATTTCACTTTAACGAGTGTCTTTTATGAAATAATCTATTTGTTTCAAGATTTCTATCACACCTCACCTCTATCATCACACTGACCTATATATATATATATATATATATATATATAGACTCACTCTTTATTGTGATGATTCCCAACAGATGTTCTACTGACTATAAGTACATGTCAGCTTATTCTACTAACCCTACCAGTCTACTAATACTCTACTAATACTCTCAGAGTTAATTGACATGTAGGTGCAATGCTAATAATATCTAAAGGGGACCAACAAAATAAAGTGTTACCAAATTTAATATATTGTTCATAGATCTCAAAATAATTATGTAAATATATTTTAATTAAGTTTTCATGTATATATAAAATCTATATTATTACTGTAAATTTTAAGTGAAGTCTGTAAAACCAATAATGCTGGTACCGTCTTTTGACGGTAAAGTTCTGGCAACCACAGCATGCCATTTTTTTTTTACTGTAAACATTACGGTTTTATTTTACGTAAAACATAAAAAAGACATATATATATATATATATATATATATATATATATATTAGGTCTTTTTGTGTCTGTTTAAATTTTTGTAAAAATCTGGCACGTTGAACGTATTATTATTAAAAAGTAGCATGATTTAATATTATTACCATTTTACAATATTTTAAATAATTTATTCCTGTGATGCTGAAATTTCAGCATCATTACTCAGTCGTCAGTGTCATATGATCCTCCAGAAATCATTATAACATGCTGAGTTGATGCTTAAGAAACATTTCTCTTTATCAATGTTGAAAAAAGTTGTGCTGCTTAATAATTTTTGTGAAAACCATGATACTTTTTTATTTTCATTTTTTTGCCAGAAAAGAAAGAACCGCATTTATTTGAAATAAATATATTTTGAAGCAATCTACTGTATTTAAAGTAATTTTGATGAATGTTGTTGATAAAATGTTTTTCAGAAAAAAGAAATCGTACTGACCCCAAACATTTGAATATAAGACATCAGTTGGCATGATCTTACTTTAGCATGATCTTGACCTTATTTTGACAGAATATATTTAAATATTGTTTGATTTCCTGTTGTAGGTGAGCTGCACGATTCTTCTTACCTGTTTGAGCACTCTGTCGATGAGATTGATAAGATGGCTATTCTTTGTCTTAGAATAATCAATGTCCAATTTGTCTTGTTCATGCTGGATCCAGTCAAGATGGAACTTGAAGGATTTAAGACCAGAGTACAGCTGTTCTAAGGTACTGCTCACCTGTGGGCCAAAATGAGACAGATGTTACACACATCTTATTTTTGAAACTAGACTCTAAACTAATAATAATCTGTCTATATCATTCTGTCTATCCATCATTCTTTCTTGGTTTTTTTAATGAACAGTTTGGTCTTAATTTCAGATGTTATCCAAACAGTCGAAAAGAAAGACAGTGATGAATAAGACAGAGGCAGAGATGTTTATCACTGTAAAAAAATAAATAAAAGCGTAATTTTTACGGTAAAAAAACGGCACGCTGTGGTTGCCAGAGCTTTAACGTAAAAATACGGTATTGGTTTTACAGACTTAACCTAAAATTTACAGTTATAAACCATATTTTAGTAGGTGATATGTTAATTTACCAACCGATTGAAGTATTGATATCTGTTTTGTGCTTCCATATGAAGATTAATACTTATGTATGAAGCTGCACAGTGTCATTCACACAAACATTAAACACCATCATGGTAACACACATGAAATAAAAAAATGCAATCAACGTTAATTCAACCAGATTAAATGTAATATAAAACCCTAATGTACAAAAAAATAACAAGACAATTATGGGGAACCATTACGCTATCTCACGTACGAATTCATACGAGTGAATAAAAAGTGGCTAATTCGTACTAATTCGTACGACCTCACTCGTACGAATTTGTACGATTTGTCCAAACCCATGTGATGGGTAGGTTTTGGGGCGGGGTCAGGGGTAGGTCATTCGTACGAATTCATACGAATTGTCCAATTCGGAAAATATGTACGATTTAGCAAAAAACGTACTAATTCGTACGAGCGAGATCGTACGAATTGTTACCTCGTAAAATTCGTACGAATTCTCGTGAAATCGGGTTGGGAACCATAGTTATTTCAACAAAAAATCATAAAATGTGAAGTGTCACACAAGGAATTATGGGAATGTCAATTTATGTTTTACTGTAAATTATACAGTGAGCTGATCTTTTTCACTTTCAAAAACTGTATTACATTAAACATACCATGAGATCTATCACAGTTATTTACCGTATATAGAACGGAAACTTTCTGTTAACCAATTAACAGTTTTGCACTGTAGCCTTTTTACAGCATCTTTTACCGTTAAAATTACGATTATTTTCAGTGCATACCTCAAGTGTTTTCAGGTCTTCTGTTCTGAAGTCCAGAGAGGGCAGGGATGTGAGCGGTTGTTCAAAGTCGTTCAGCTTATTCTGGAAAATGTCAAGCATTTAATCAGACAACTAAATGACCCGCAAAGTGCGTACATTTTAATATGGATGGGCCATTTAAAATGAATTAGAAAATCATTATCAGCAAACTGACACTCACCTCATGCTTTTCTTGAGATACTATGTTGAATAGCTTACGCATGTCTTGGTAAAGCACTCGCAGATCATTTTTTCCTTGAGGCATAGCGGGACGGGCTGTGACGAAGTCGAAGAGCTCAACAAAAGTCATCAAGACGATGAGGGGAAAGGTGAAGTCAGTTGACACTGTCAGCATAAAAACAAGCAGAATTTCATATTAATGTCATTGCAACAGCTGCTCCGAGTCACAAGTGTTTCAATATGTGTCCTGAACAGCTGTTTTACTCTCTTAAATCTTGTATCTAAGCAGATGGATTTGCACGGAGAGCTCTTTCTCTTGGATTGTAATGGTTACACCGGATGGTACAAAAATTTGGAGCACAAGAAGATGTCTCCCCACAGGAATTCCCAAGGCATGTTGGACACACATTTGTAACTGTGGCTGGGTGCGTCGGAATCAGTGTACAAAATGAAGAGATGTACTATTTGGATGAAAGGACGCATGCCTGAGCTCATGAAATTTCAAACTGGTAGCATTTTATGCATTTCTTAACTCTTAAAGTGAAAAATATATATTGGACCGAATGCGGTTCTTTCTTAACCGTTAATAATTGGCTAATTCCCGGCCCGTTTGATGTTTCCGCCAGTCTTTAGCCACAGCAAACTCCAATGAGCCATTGCCGAAGTCTGTCTGAAGGTCGTAGGCCTTCAAATACTTAAGGCAGATATGTGATAACTGTGCGATTTAACCCTTTGATAAGCATTGGAAGGAAATGAATGGCTATTTACGCAATTAGCATCCTTTGAAAACTTTCTAAATGGGGAAATTGTTAAGGTCAGTGATAACCGCTGCGTGCAACCCTTTAAGATTTGATAGTGGCGATCGCCATCAAAACCGTTTGTGAAATGAAAGATCACATTGACTCAATTGGCACAACAGCTGTTGACTCACTCGCAGACATCCTCTGTCTGCATGAGTGTTGGAATTTTTTTTGCTTCACTCTGATAGCATCTTTTTGCTTCTGTCAACACGATTTTGAGATAGCATTGCCCTAATATAGCTAATGTTCAGTTAAGAGCTTGTTACTGATCCGAGTCGATACACACGCATGTTTTCAAATTGGACGTTATCATGCAAAAGCAATGTTAACAGACTGAGGTTAGAACTCTGATCCCGCTACAGCCTTGAAACAGTGTTAAAATTGAGTATTATCTACTATTTATTCAAATTTGAATATCTGATTTTAGTAAACTTATTTCAGTTAGT